AAACATTTAAATTAATATCATGAATTTAGCTGTTCAAGTTATCAAAATTCATTGAAAATCAATATACTTGTTCGTCTCAAGATCTTAAACTCTGTGTAAAGTCAATTGGATGATAACTTTGGTCTCTAGAGCGTCCACAAGAATGTTCAAATTGATCAAGGGCCATAACTCTAGAAGTAATTATCGGATATCGTTGAAAATCAATATGCTTTTTCGTCTCATGATCTTAATCCGTTAAGCGTGACGTTTTTAAAACGTTAACTACCACCTATTGTGTAATTAATTTGATGAAGAGACGAAGAACTATGTACTATGTTCTAAGAATAGGTTGGGGAAAATACCCCCAAGGCGTTATATTATGCCCTACACACAGTGAGTGGCAGTTGTCCAGGACGTAATATGTCCTACACATGCTGAGATCATTTGGGAATTCCCAAGGGATTCTCCCAAGTGACGAACTATGTTCTAAGAATAGGTTGGTGAAAATACCTCCAAGGTGTTATATTACGCCCTGCACACAGTGAGTGGCAGTTGTCCAGGACATTATATAACAACCTACGCACTTAACGGGTTAAACACCGTGTATAAATTTAAAGTCATTCGGATATTAACTTTAGCCCCTAGAGGGTCCACAAGATTTTTCAAAGTGATCAAGGGCCATAACTCTGGCAGTAATTTTCAGAAATCGCTGAAAATCAATAGGCTTCTTTGTCTTTATGACCTTAAAAACACTGTGTATAAATTTAAAGTCAATCAGATATTAACTTTAACCTCTAGAGCGTCCACAAGCAATTGTGGACGCCGGATTGACGACAATATACGACCACATTTTAATGGGGGCGTATAAAAATTGTGACCTCTAGTTTTGGTTTGATTTTCACGAAATTCGAACTCAACCATCATTAGGGTGTAACGCTGATATATTCAAATGTTTTTTTTTTAAATCGGATAAAAATTGTTACCCCTAGAGGGACCACAAGCTAAAAACGTGATTTTTTTGTACAATCAAGGGCATTAATTCAGGAAGTTATGATCTGATATGCCCAAATATCGAAAGGAACCAAAAACTTTTGGTTATAAACATGCATTTCAAGTTTCATCAAAATCAGATGAAAATTGTGACCTGTCGAGTGTCCACAAGCTAAAAACATGATTTTTCGTACAATCAGGGGTCATAATCCATGAAGTTTTGGTCCTATTTATCCCAATATCAAAATGAACAGAGATCTTTGGGAGGTAGACCTATATTTTAAGTTTCGTCAAAATTGAATAACCAGCGACTGCCAGGCAGGATACGCCCACATTTTCGAGAGATGGATAGAGAACAAGCTAAAAAGAAAGTGATTTTTCCTACAATCAAGGGCCATAATTCAGGAAATTACAATTCGATATGCGCAAATATCGAAAGGAACCGAGATCTTTGTGTTATCAAACTTACATTTCAAGTTTCAACAAAATTGGATAAAAATTGTGACCTCCATAGGATCCACAACCTTGATATACCATATCTTTACGCTATTTGAGAACGAAGGGCGGCCATTTTGTCTGTCAGTTTTGGGCCAATTTTCACGAAATTCAAACTCAGCCGTCCTTATGGTGTAACGGTGATATAATAATACGTTTCTTTAAATCGGATAAAAATTATGACCTAAAAACGCGATTTTTCGTACAATCAGGGGCCATAATTCAGGAAGTTACGGTCTGATATGCGCGAAAATATCGAAAGGAATCGAGATCTTTGGGTTATAAACTTACATTTTTATTATTATTATAATTGTTCGATTTATATAGCGCTTCATTACACGTGAAGTGTTTCTAAGCGCATATCACAAACATATACTTCAAACACACAGAAACAATCAAAATCAGGAGAACATAGTTAAACACAGCTGCCTGTTAGGCGCTATTATTCAAAGGTTTATATCCAACAAATCAACCGGCTAATCTCAATATTGAACTCAGTCGAGGTATTACCAGATGAACACCTACACCAAGTAGAGTTCAAAAATAAAAACGAAGTTTAAAAGAATCAACTTCATTAACAAAAATTAAACAATCAAAAACTAAACAGATAAATCAAATTCAAACGAAACAAATAAAACAAAGAAAATGGAAAGAGCAGTTCGTTACCATTCTACATTAACAAAATAAAGGAAATCAACTTGTGAAAATTTTTTCAAAAAATAAGAGCAAAGTAACACTATTGTTAATAATTATCAAAAGGAACCAAGATCTTAATGATAAAAACATATATTTAAAGTTTCATCCAAATTGGATAAAAACTGTGGTCTCTAGAGGGTCCACAACCTTGATATACCATATTTATCTATTTCTTAATTAATTACAGGTATGTAAATTATTGTACCGGTAACCTAAATTTTATGAATATTGTTGTGATGTTATGACGATGTGCAATGCATATTGATATTGTGTTTACCTGTTTAAGATGAGTCAATAAAAATCTTTTCTTAAATATTTAGCACCCATGTCATTTAATTGGACGTACGGTATCCGAGACTTTGTTTAATATTATCATAGCAATCCAATAGTACATGTACCTATGCCTATTTAAAGATACATTCCTGTGTACAAACTGGGTGATTTATGGTATTATAATAGGACTAAACACATATTCAAACTAATTAATTTGTCATAATTTTGCTTCAAATCCTTCTCAAAACATTGTAATTTAGGCTAAATAAATCTTGTCAAAACATTCAAACATACGGTAGGCCTATACTGAAATGAAATAAAAAAAATTCAAGTTTTAACAAAATCGGATAAAAATTGTGACCTCTATAGGGTCCACAACCTTGATATACCGTATTTTTACGCTATTTGAGAACGAACGGCGGCCATTTTGTCTGTCAATTTTGGGCCGATTTTCACGAAATTCGAACTCAGCCCTCCTTAGGGTGTAACGGTGATATAATAATAGGGTTTTTAAAATCGGATAAAAATTATGACCTCTATTGGGTCCACAAGCTAAAAACGCAATTTTTCGTACAATCAGGGGGCATAATTCAGGAAGTTACCGTCCGATATGCGCGAATATCGAAAGGAACAAAGATGTTATAAACTTACATTTCAAATTTGAACAAAATCGAATTAAAATTGTGACCTCCATAGGGTCCACAACCTTGATATACCATATTTTTACGCTATTTGAGAACGAAGGGCGGCCATTTTGTCTGTCAGTTTTGGGCCGATTTTCACGAAATTCAAACTCAGCCGTCCTTAAGGTGTAACGATGATATAATGATACATTTTTTTAAATCAGATAAAAATTATGACCTCTATAGGGTCCACAAACTAAAATCGCGATTTTTCGTACAATCAGGGGCCATAATTCAGGAAGTTACGGTCCGATATGCGTGAATATCAAAAGGAACCGAGATCTCTGGGTTATAAACTTACATTTCAAGTTTCAACAAAATTGGATAAAAATTGTGACCTCTATAGGGTCCACAACCTTGATATACCGTATTTTTACGCTATTTGAGAATGAACGGCGGCCATTTTGTCTGTCAATTTTGGGCCGATTTTCACGAAATTCGAACTCAGGCGTCCTTAGGGTGTAACGGTGATATAATAATAGGGTTTTTAAAATCGGATAAAAATTATGACCTCTATTGGGTCCACAAGCTAAAAACGCGATTTTTCGTACAATCAGGGGGCATAATTCAGGAAGTTACGGTCCCATATGCGCGAATATTAGGGCTGCAACGATTCATCGATGTATCGAGATAGTTTAAAAATCCACGTTGCACGATACAATCAATGTCCGTATCGCGATTCGTTATCCAAAATTAAACAAAAAAATAGACTGACATTCTGTCATTTAAATATCCTAACGAGGAATGCCTAAATAAGTCTATGAGTAAAATAACTTTTTTTACTTTCAGCGTGAATAATTCGAGACTTTCAGCTATTTCGTCAAGAATAAAATAAAATATCAGTCTGGATAAGCAAGTCAGGCATGAAATTAGGTTACTTGCAAATTACACACTTGAATAATATGCGGAAAAAACATACAACATATTATTATAAATACGTCAGTAATATGCGATTTGTAATAAGACTACTGTGCAAGAATGGTGATAGGTGCATACAATGATCAGCACAATTATCTTTTCTATATTTTCAATGTATAATAATATTTTGACATTCAAATTTCGTATTGTTATTTTCTTTGCCATTCTCTCATCTACGACTGACCTGACAACGAGAAAGCTTTCCATTGGCTGAAATTGTTGTAGCAATACGAGCCAGCCATTGAATTGATTCAGCAACAGAATATTTTTAATAATGATGCATTCGTCAACAAATTCAGGTCGTACGGGCGACAAAAATAATGTAGAAATTGAAAATCCCTCTGCCAAGTATAAGTCACAAGTATGGGAGTTTTTTGGATTTCCCGTAAATTATGACAAGAATGGAATTCGTTCAGTGGACCGAGAAAACTGCATCGCGATATTAATCGTATCGTGGGGTATGAATCGTGATGCGCATTGTATCGTGGCCTGGTGTATCGTTGCAGCCCTAGCGAATATCGAAAGGAACCAAGATCTTTCGGTTATAAACTTGTATTTCAAGTTTCAACAAAATCGGATAAAAATTGTGACCTCTATAGGGTCCACAAGCTAAAAACGTGATTTTTCGTACAAACAGGGGCCATAATCCATGAAATTTCGATCTGATACATGCCAATATCGAAGATGCCAATATTGGAGATAAACCTATATTTCAAGTTTCGTCAAAATTGGATAAGAATTGTGACCTGTAGAGGGTCCACAAACAATTGTGGACGGACGGGGGCGACGGCATAATACGTCCACATGAAAATGTGGGCGGATAAAAATTGTGATGGACAGGAGCGACAACAATATACATCCGCATGAAAATGTGGGCTTATAAAAATTAAGTATGCTTACTTAACTTTAAGAATACCTTTGAAAACAGGCCCAGGTCTGCAGTTACTTTAACATTAAATTACTTACATGCCAACTATAGGAAGACTCAAAGCTTTGGGATCTGATTCTAATACCAAGAGTAACTTTCTTGTATGATCCATTGTAAGGTACCTACATATTAAAAACAAAAACATAAAATATTCGACTAGTTGTCATTTAGAAGTTAATTAAGTGATCTTATATACAAATAAATACACAAATGTAACTAAACTTCATATTGCCAGTCAACTAAGGATACAAATGGTTTATAGTCAAATCACATAACAATAACCAGTGGTTGCCGGGCAAGATACGCCCACAATTTGTAAGAGATGGATAGCTAAAAAAAAAAAGAAAGAAGAAAAAGCGATTTTTTGGACAATCAGGGGCCATAATCCATGAAGTTATGGTCTGGAATACGTGGATATCAAAAGGGACTGAGATCTTTGAGATATATAAAGATATATTTTAAGTTTCATCAAAATCGGACAAAACTTGTGACCTTCATACTTTTACACAATTTGTGTACAAGGAGCGGCCATTTTGTCAGGCAGTTTCCCAAAATTCAAACTAAACCTTCATAATGGTGGAATGGGGATATATTATTAAAACATTTTTTAAAATCTAGAGGGACCAAAACCTAAAAACATGTACAATCAAGGGGCAATCTGCACGAATATTGAAAGGAACCAAGATATTTGGGTCATAAACATACATTTTAAGTTTCATCAAAATCGGATCAAAATTGTGACTTCTAGAGGGTCCACAACCTTGGTATTACATACTTTTACATAATTTGCGTACAAGGAGCGGTCATTTTGTCAGGCAGTTTCGGTCAGATTTTTACGGTGATATATTTAAACGTTTTTTAAAATTGAATACAAATTGTAACTTCTTACTAGAAGTTATATTGGGTCCAAAAGCTAACAAGTGGTTGCCATGCAAGATACGCCCACATTTTGCAAGAGATGGACAAAGAACAAGCTCAACAAGCCAACAGTCAGGCTGATACAGTCTGAAATGCGCAAATATTGAAAGGAACCGAGATCTTTGGGACATAAACATAAATTTTAAGTTTCATCAAAATCAGACTTGTAGAGGGTTCACTTCACAACCTTGGTATTACATACTTTTACACTATTTGATTTGTGTACAAGGAGCAGCCATTTTGTCGGACAGTTTTGGTCCGATTTTCACAAAATTCGAACACAACCGTCATTAGGGTGTAACATTTTTTTAAAAACAGATAAAGATTGTGACCTCTAGTGGGTCCAAATATATACTCATCGGAACCCTAATGCATTCATGGGAGACAGCATGCTTTATCAGGACCGACTTTCTAAAATTCTTGGAACCAGTCACAAAACTATTCTTGGTGTTATGTTTCTGTCAAACTTTCTGACCAAACTATTTTTAATTAACCAGTGCATACTGCGTACGTGATGAGTTAGACTGTTGACTATTTCTCCATACATGGGTAAAAAGTAGTTCCTCTAATGATTAATGCCACTCGGCAAACCTCAGCAGATTCCAGTACTCTACATCTAGCCTCGGCTGTATGACGAAGTCCGCCATTGGAACTACTTTTAAGTTCCCGGATTACCAACGGCGTTGCCCATGACGACGTCTTTGAAGAATGTTTTATCATACAAATATTTCAAAGTCTGAAGCTGTTTTTCTTTCAAGTTTTTTCCGATTTTCTTCAAACAAGGACAACTTTGCACTAAAAATTCTTCACACGCTTCGAACGACGCAATTTTGATAACTTCTTTTTAAAAGCGGCAAGTTTTCCTAATAAGTAAACCGGTGCCACATCTCAATTGTATAGGCGTAGGTACATATCACTTACCGTCATACAGCCGAGGCTAGATGTTGAGTAACGGAATCTGCCGAGGTTTGCCGAGTGGATTAATGCATGTAAATAATTCAGTCATAAAAATGTACAATAATTACATGTAACATACTTCTTAAACTTATTCGTTAAGAGATACAAAATAACGATTATCCAATCAGTTACAATCTTCTGAAGTTCTGTTGTGTTCTATATACGGTATAGTGATTTTTACATTTGATTACTTTGAAATATCAATATTGTGTCATATTATTTAGCATATTAACTAATAAAGAATGCATTTTTAACTGTTTACATCTTGTATTTTCCAATAAGTCAACTCAACACTGATTTTGTCTTGTGTGGTTCATGTCAACCAATCTCTAGCAAGCTACTCATGTTTGTCGCATGATTTCATGCTCACAATCGAGGCAAAATTTTTAACAGCTGCGCAAATCAACAACACGCAAACAAGGCTCAGGGTACACAGTGTCATGTGAAGCTTTCATTAAATATAAGGGTTCAATTCGTGTTTGTAAAATCACACCCAAGAATTAATATATATCCAAAGGCATAGACTCAACTTCCTAGACCCATGCCACACCACATAAAAACTTAAAATTAACCCTGTTTAGCTCTAACTACTGATGTCTGGACAAGCTCTGCTAAAGAGGTTTATACAACTTAACAGCCTATTATCTTGACATTAATTGGAAGCCATGTAATCACATTCTTGCAATGCATGAAACTATCGAGTATCATACGAGTATTAATTTAGCAGATGATATTAGACTTAGAGTCCTGGCTGATCTTGAAGTCATTAAAGTGCCAATTTTGGGCATAGTCTGCAGTTGGTGGTAAAAGCAGGCATTGATTTATCCTTTGTAAGTCATGCTGCAGGTGCCAACTGGAGAGTTGTAACATTCTTTCATAAATTGACAGTAGCAAACAATGCTCTAAATCTAACATTAAAGCAGGAACAACGAAAAAAAACCTCCCATCGCCTGATACGGGATGTGACAACATGCTGGAACTCCACCGACTTCATGTTTGAATGTTTTTAAAATAGAACAGCGATTACCAATTATGGCAGTTATCCTATAGTTAATAAGTTATACACAATAGTACCATTGTAAAGCCGTCTGATGCTCAAATCCTAGAACTGGCTGACAAAGACTGGAGAACAATTTAGGACACTTCAAAAGTATTTAAACCATTTGAAATAATTGCCAGTGCCCAAGAATATCTAACTATTAGTATTAGAATGGGATAAGTTTATGCTTTAATTAACAAGCATCTTCAAATTGATGAACTTGATAAGTCCTGATGTCACCAGACGAAGAATTATGTGCATGCCCTCAAATAAAAGCATCAGCTTTAGACCCTAGATACAGACATTTGCTATTTTTGCCAAAAGATTCACAGAGGTCGAAAGTGTAGAAAAATATTTTGCAATAAAATAAGTCCAGATCTTGATCCAAATTCTGATTATGATCATAATATAGATGAGGGTCATTCCACAAATAAGGGGACAAATTGAAAATTCATACACATCATTGCTCAAAGCAACAAAAACACCTATTTTCTGATCACCAATTGTTGAAAAAAGTAATTGATCATGTAATATATTTATTATTTTATAATCATTTACATTAAAAATATTCCAAATCGGTCTGTGGTTAAATTTTTCAATGTTGCAATTCGTGGCGTTCCTAAATTTTAGAGTTATGTTTTGGGGACATTTTTTTGTACTTCACATTTTAACAACTGAACCATGTTGCGCACAAGATTAATATTTCCAAATATTTTCACAAAACATGCAGCAGAGAATCTAAGATTTTGTTCACTAAGTTTTTATTTCTAAACAAATGTAAGTAATCTGAATTGGAGGATTTTCAATCATGTCCCACAACATAAATTTTTGTGTCCCTAATATTTACGTTGTATTATTGTCATTTTAGCCACGATCTTACTTTGCAAATCAAAACAAAATGTTTCATCTTAATTCCATTTTGTTGAAGTGGAAGTAAATAACAAATTCCAAAAACGTAATTAGATGTATTGTATTAATAGTCTGTGTAAATTTTATTAGCTTTGTCGATACTGGAAATTCAAGTCCCTCGTTCAACTTACGAAATGTGTGTTTATGACGATTATATAAAGCTGTCTATTACTATTAGCTGTGAAATACATCAGAGATATGTTTAGTTTATGGTCACATGATAGACATCCCTGAAACAGACAATGGCCCGGCGCATCCCTGTAATTAGGTTGTTATGTGAATTTACCTCCTGCATATGACGCATAGATGTTGAATGTCATAATTGTCCAAAACAACAGTATTCTTCCACAAATGAAAATTATTGCTTCCTTGGTATTCGGGGATCACGCAACAGAATGGTCGCGGTGTCGGAATATTAATGAAAATGACGTGAAACCAAAACTTTCATGTCTCTATTATTAACTAAATATTGTATTAGTATACACATTAAACCTTGGTCTTTTAAAGTCTTTTGGTTCATTTATTTGGTCTTTTAAAGTCTTTTGGTTCATTTATTTGGGCAAAACGGATTCACAACGTAAGCTATTGAAAGGGACACAACTAATTCTCAAAGACTGCTACTCATTTTGATTGTTGAAAGTGTTATTTTTTTCTATATTTGAAAGTGTATTCATTGTTTAAGTTTTAAATGAGAAATAGTACATAAGATGGTTTGATTAAATTATTACTTTAGTAGGCAAGTCATCAACATTTGGCGTCCCTTTACATGTGAAACTGCAATATTCAGTATCACAGTAAACCTTTCCATGTTGATTTTTCATGATACTGATTTACAAGTAGTTCATATTGATTGTTTACGTCAAACAAACTTCAACAATTTTGTAAAATCTTTATTTTATTAAAAATCTACAGAGACTTTTCAGTTTGTATTGAGAATTTGGGAATATCCGTGTAATCAACATTGGCTGGCTAGAGGTGTTGGCACAAATATACACTATTTCTGCTTAGACTTCTAATGTAGGCGCCTCATTTGAATAATACATCATAAACACATTAGTATGTCTTATACATGCACAGAAATTTAGAATTAAAAGTCTAATTTGGTATCCCTTTACACAAGAAATCTGTACGTAACGTGTCATATAAAATCGTTCACATCTTTTCTTTGGAACTCGACAATGAGAAATCATTAACTGTCCTTCAAATGGCATACATTACCCTTATTATTGGTATGAGAGGAGAACAAAATTAATTAAATAAAACTCTGGCAAAAACTTAAAAATCTTAGATATAAAAACAATAATGATAGGTTGCCTGGCAACGAAACATATGCCCACAGCAGCTAAATCGTCCGAGCAGACGACAAGGGTTGTCGCATATTTATTCTTTTGTAGGCAATTGGGGGCATTTTAAGACAGTTTCATACAGATCAGATTATAATTTTTGACGTTTGAGGGTTCACAAGGTTCTACAAACTGAAACAAGGGCCTTAGCTCTGGAGGTAATTTACAGAAAATTTTGAAATTTGACATGCTTTTTCGTTTTACTAATTTAAATAATGCATATAAATTTCATGCAGATCGGATGATAACTTTTGTCATTCAAACGTTCACAAAGTAAAACAAAGACCATAACTCTAGAAATAATTGATGGAAATTGCTGAAATTGAATAGACCTCCAATTTCAAAAATTTAAATGATACATATAAATTTCATACATATATCATCGGATGATAACTTTCATCAATCGAGCATTAACAAGGTTGAACAAAGTGATACAAGGGCCATAACTCTAGAAGCAATTATTGTAAATTGCTGAAATTCAAAAGGCTTCGTGGTTTCAGGCTTCTAAATGATGCATATAAATTTCATACAGATCGGATGATAACTTTTTTCGTTGCAGTGATTGGCATATTTATTATGTTTTGTCTCCTAATGGTGACCTGACATGACCTTGACAACTTTGGACCCTATTGGAATGTTATAAATGTCAGGCTTTATGGGCATCCTAAAGGTACATTATGGGAGATTTTAATAGAGAGTTGGCCATTCTTGCTATAACAGTTCAAAAATAGATGATAAAAGAAGAATATATTGAAAATTTCAGTCAAATTACTTTATTCTGAACAAAGTTATCACCATTGTAATTTTTGACTAGAAATAGGAGTCAAATCTCTCTTCAGCGTCTCCGAAAATGGCTGATCGTTTGATTGACAGGCGTTAACACCACCTACATAATCTTGATTATCAAGTAATGTTTTCAATGGCTGTGGTACCGTTAGCCTATTCGGTTTGAGACGGGGTCGCAATTCAATTCGTATCATATTTATTTTTACTACAAATTAAACATAAGACTTTTAATATATAGATAAGAAGCGAAAGTTTGAAAGGAATGGACCAAATCAATGAGGCATAATTATAGCCGACTTCTTATTAGCCTGCGTGTACTCTTGTACTGTAACTGGTAGTCCTACTAACTCCCAAAGCAGACAAATGGGAAACAGTGATCCAATAGGGCTGCAATGTTACATGCGATGTTTATCAATTTCCCTAATTTTTCTGTAAACGCAGGTGACAAAAGAGCGTATAATACCGACATCCAAACTCTCATTTTAACCACAACTAAACATAATATCAAGGCTGTATATATCGAACTTTCAATCAAATTGACCGACATGCGGCCTCCCTCAACAGCGGTCTCGCTTCGTAGACTCTATCATTTAGCCACTATCTAAAATTTCCGGGAGTATGACGTCACCGTAACGGTTAATCTCGATCTTACGACGCCATTTAAAAATTTAATCAGTCAAGGAAATCCTGTTTAAATCCAAGCCAAATCCAAGCCATCCGTGGGTCTACAGAGTTGATTTTGTGCTTGTTGTGTAAATAAAGATCTAATTTATAATTTCTATGACATCTGAAGCCTAAATAAAGACTTGCAATAATCAGATTTAGCTCTTGCATAATGTATGTTTAAGTAAAGGTCTCCTCATGACACCATACCTAGCATACTTCTCTATTCTCGTCTCATTTCACATCCCAATCATACAATGCCTGCTCACATAATTCTTATTTCATATACATATCTATATTTATTGTTGACACTTTCCCAATCATACGATGCAGCACATAGTTCTTATTTCATGTACATATAATATTTATTGTTGTCATGTCGTAACCTTTACTTAATGAATAAATAAATAATTTTATCAGTGATTGAGATAACTTAAAATTTGAGTACCTATGTCATACTTTGGACCCCTCATTAAGAGAATGACTCACGTAAATCTGAATTGTATTTTTTGGGTGGGAGATTATGTACGAAATAGATCCGGTAGCCAAAATATAATGTTTTAAATCGGAAGATGTGGGCTCTGCTCATATGTGTCCTCTTTAGTGGTGGAGAATTAACAAAATTAGTTACACTTTGTTGTCCAAACTGGCAAAAGATATTTTAGAAATTCCATGTACATCTGTACCATTGGAACAAGTATTTTTGATGGCCGGAAATACTGTTACTGTGAAGCGGTCAAATCGAGATCTTGACACAGTTGACAAACTCATTTTTCTAAGAACAGCTTTAAATAACAAGCCAACAGTAAGGCTGATATCCTCTGCCGAAATCCGAAAATAAATAGATGACACAAAATAATTAATTGCACATTTAGCTTTTTCAAAATTATCGAGCAATCAAACTGATTATCTATACTTAGTCTAAGCATAAAATGTTCACGATCAAACTCAGTCAAGGTACTGGTAGTGAAACTACACACTAAGTTTCATCACTATCACTCTCCATCAGTTAGAATCAAAGTTATCTTATCCCAAAGCATCGACCAATAAAATTGCTTGGCTCTGCTTAGCTTTAGCAGGAAATGTTAATCACTGAACTCAGCCAAGACATTCACCTAGTAAACATCTACCTCAAGTTTAAACATTCTACCTCAATTAAAAGCAGAGTTGTTATGTTCCAAAGTCTTGACCAATCAAATTGCTTAATGCTACTAAGCCTAAGCAGAAAATTCTCATCATCGTACTTAGTCAAGGTATTGATATAATGAATGTTTACTCAGAGTATTTTTATTTACTTACCCTGTTTTAGAAACACCTTGAATATGGCTAAAACTAAGTGGTCCAGCCAAATTTTTAGACAAAGCTGTTGGAACAATGGGTACAGGAGTTATGGGTATAGCTTTAAATTCTGTAGCTAATGTAACAACATTAAAATCGATATGAACTATACAGTTTTCTCCTCCAGTATAATAATTACACCATCCTCTAGTCGGTAAGAAACTACCCAAATCAATACTTTCTTTACTAATACATCTTTCTTTTAATGACTGAAAAAACAAAACATTTTATTAATTATTTCAATCTGAAATTTCTATATAGGCAAATATGGTTGATGCGTGTTCTCGCTGGCACCTTTAATATTATATTTTGCCGCCATTACCAACTTAATCCGAGAACAATGATTTTTATAAAGCAGAAAGCTTTAGTGATTTAGTCTATCACAGATTCTTACAATCAGGGGCCGTAATCCTGGAAGTTATGTCTGAAGTACGCAAATTTCGACATAGACTGGGATATTGTGGATATAAAGATGTATTTTCAGTTTCATCAAAATTGTGACTTTTAGAGATTCCACAACCTTGGTTTTACATTAAAAGTACGAGTGTCGGTCATTTTGTCCGGCAGTTTTGGTTCGATTTTCACGAAATTCGAACTCAACCATCATTAGGGTGTGACGGTGATATATTCAAACGTTTTTTTAAATCGGATAAAAATTGTGACCTCTAGAGGGACCACAAGCTAAAAACATGATTTTTGGTAAATCAAGGGCCATAATTCAGGATGTTAAAATCCAATATGTGTGAATATCGAACGGAACCAAGATCTTTGGGTTATAAACATGTATGTCAAGTTTCATCAAAATCGGAGCCTCTGGAGGTTCCACAACCTTGATATACCTATATCTACCTACACTATTTGCGTATGAGGGGCGACCATTTTGCCTGGCAGTTTTGGTCCGATTTTCACGAAATTTGTAACGGTGATATATTCAAATATTTTTTTTAAATCGGATAAAAATTGTGACCTCTAGAGGGACCACAAGCTAAAAAGGTGATTTTTCGTACAATCAAGGGCCATAACTCAGAAAGTTACGATCCGATATTCGCAAATATCGAAAGGAACCAAAATCTTTGGTTTATAAACATGTATTTCAAGTTTCATCAAAATTATGACCTCTAGAGGGCCCACCTTGGCAGTATATGCGGGTCGGGACCAAGGGCTATGGAAAATGACCGTAACGATGGGAAAACTAGCCGTTTTTTTTTTTTCAAAACCCAATTTACAACTATAAAATTGTACGGCCAGTGCAGAATAATGCGCACGTATACTGAGTGTTGTTTTGATAATTAATGATGAGTGTCTGGTAGTAAAATAATAAAAGTTAATTGATATGTGGGAATCTTATCAATGGCGTGAAGCGGTCCATTCTTAGTCAATCACGTATTGTTCACATGTCATAAGAATTTTCTAGAACAAAGCCGTTTACCACTTTGTTACAGTCACGCACGATGTAAACGAGATTATTGTGATCTTCAAACAAAGGGAAATTGATATGAATCCAACCAACTGTCATATTATTAAATAAAAACAGCATAGAAATTACGTAGATCCTCAACAACGTACGTGTTGGGAGAAAAATGCATTATATTTTTTTTATAGCGGTATTACGGCCTTGTGGGAATTGTAGAAATAAAATCTAGAGATTAGTTAACTTGTTTACCGAAAAATAAGAAAATTACGTATTCCAGTGCTATTGTATAGCAATATTGATAATTCCAAGTGTTGCAAAAATGTTGTGTATATGTAACTCTTATACACAATGATATTCTAGGGGGCACTAGTGTTGCTAGCTGTGAGTTTCGCTAGCGATTCTTCAAGATTCCGCCGCGGAACAGGGAGTTTTTCCGCCGTATTCGGCGATTCTAGTCCCAAACTCCAGCAGTTAGTTATTTAGTTATTCATTATTTGGAGTTATGTCACAATTCTGCGGTCCGTAATGCAGTAAGAGATGGTCTAAAACCAATAAATGTGAGATATATGCCGTCGACAATTATATATTTATCTTCAGTTCAAAGTTATTGTATTACAACTCAAAATTATCCAGGTCAGTGTGTTTTCTATAGAACACATGGTAATTACGTGTCAGCTACTGGAATGGTTTTTCTACCGCTAATTCAGCTGTTTCGATTATTTAAAGATACATTATGGGAGATTTTTTATAGAGAGTTGGCCATCCTTGCTATAACATAACAGTTCAAAAGTAGATGATGAAAGAAGAATATATTGAAAATTTCAGTCAAATTACTTTATTCTGAACATAGTTATCATCGTTGTAATATTTGACGAGAAATGGTAGTGAAATGTGCCTTCACCTTGGCCCAACATTTGATTGACAGGCATTAACTCCACCTACATATCTCGATTATCAAGTAAAGTTTTCAATGGCATGCGGAAACGCTCTACAGCGGCCTCGCTAAGTACACTCTATCATTTAGCCTCGATCTAACTGACGTATTCTCATCAGGGTGCGCCATATTTGAATTTATCAATAAGTGAAATCCTATTTAAATCCGAGCTGTAGCCGAGCCATCCGTGGGTCACAGAGTTTATTTTGGGCTTGTTGTTTAAATAAAGATCTAATTTATAATTTCTATAACATCTGAAGCCTAAATTAAGACTTGCAATAATCAGATTTTGCTCTTGCATAATGTATGTTTAAGTAGCTAAAACAGAATATTTAATTAATAAATAATTAAGGCCTTACTAATATTTCATTCTTAAGTCTAATATATAATTTTTTGTGTACCCCATGCTGACAAAGTGGGAAAGACACGTGAATTCACAACATCCTACCATGAATAACCAGCGGCTGCCAGGCAGGATACGCCTACATTTTGCAAGAGATGGATAGAGGACAAGCTAAAAACAAAAACGAATTTTTGAACAATCAGAGGCCATAATCCAGACAGTTATGGTCTGAAATGCGCAAATATCAAAAGGGACTTAGATTTTTGGAATATAAAGATATCTTTTAAGTTTTATCAAAATCGGATCAAAATTGTGACCTCTAGAGGGTCCATAACCTGTGTATTACATACTTTTTTTATACACAATTTGCGTACAAAGAACGTCCATTTTGTCAGTCAGTTGCATTTCGATTTTCCCGAAATTCCAATTCAACCTTCATTATGGTGGAATGGTTATATATCTAAACGGTTTTTAAAATCAGAAAAAAATGCGATTTTTTGACCAATCAGGGGCCATAATCCAGGAAGTTACGTTCAGATATGTGTGATTATCAAAAGGAACCAAGCTCTTTATGATAAAAACATATTTAAAGTTTCATCCAAATCAGAAGAAAACTGTGGCCTCTAGAGGGCCCAGAACCTTGATATACCATATTTTTACACTATTTGTGTACAAAAGGCGGCCATTATGTCCATCAATTTTTTCTGATTATCATGAACTTCAAACTCAACCATCATTAGTGTATACCTATGATATATTTACGCGTTTTTTTTTTTAATTGGATAAAATTTGTGACCTCTATAGGGACCACAAGCTCAAAACGCGATTTTTCGTAAAATCAAGGGCCATATTTCAGGAAGTTAGAATCCGATATGCGCAAATATAGAAAGGAACCAAGAAATTTGGGTTATAAAAAAGCATTTCAAGTTTCATCAAAATCAGATCAAAATTGTGACCTCTAGGAGGTCCACAATCTTGATATACCAGATGTTTACACTATTTGCGTACGAGGGACAGCCATTATTTTTGTCTGACAGTTTTGGTCCGATTTTCACGCAATTCAAACTCAACCATCATTAGGGTGTAACGGTACTAAAAAGGTTTTTTAAATCGGATAAAAGTTGTGACCTCTAGAGGGACCCCAAGCTAAAACACGATTTTTTGACAATCAGGGGCAATAATTCAGGAAGTTACAATCTGATATGCGCGAATATCGAAAGGAACCAAGATCTTTGGGTTATAAACTTATATTTCAAGTTTCATCAAAATTAGAAGAAAATTGTGACCTCTAGAGGGTCCACAATCTTGATATACCATATTTTTACGCTATTTAAACATGCTTCAAGTTTCATCAAAATCGGATGAAAATTGTGACCTCTAGAGGGTCCACAACCTTGATATACCATATTCTACAATATTTGCATTTACAAGGGGTGGCCATTTTGTCAGGCAGTTTTGGTCCTATTTTCACGAAATTCGAACTCAACTATCATTAGGGTGTAACGGTGATATACCAAAATGTTTTTTAAATCGAATAAAAATTGTGACCTCTAGAGGGTCCACAGTTCTAGTAGTTATGATCCGGAATGCGCGAATATCGAAAAGAACCAAGATCTTTGGGATATAAACATCCATTCCAAGTTTCATCAAAATCGGATGAAAATTGTGACCTCTAGAGGGTCCACAACCTTGATATACCGTATTTTACACTATTTGAGTACAAAAGGCGGCCATTTTGTCCGGCAGTTTTGGTCCGATTTTCACGAAATTCGAATTCAAAGATCATTAGAGTGTAACGGTGATATACTAAAACGTTTTTTTAAAATCGGATAAAAATTGCTTCAGGAATATGGCACTGTACTTAAGTTTTGTTCATAAGATATGACATATTTTGTTATTTGGGGAGATAAACTACATGGTATCCATGGAAATGCAAAAAAATGTTGAGTTTTCTTGGAAATTCCATAAGTGCATGGTAAAACGCGATATCGATAATCCCAACAGTAGATCAAAAGTAAAGGTTATAAGCAACATTTCAACACCAAAAACATCACCTCAAAGTATTCTAAAATCTTTGTTCATTATTTACATTGTACCTTCAATTTACTTCAAATGAGATTTGTGATTTTGGGTAAATTCTTTGAATAGGTCCAAAACAAGTTTTAAAATACAACAATTCAGATGTAAAAAGTAAACCTTTACTTTATTGCATTCCAAAATCATTTTATGCATTCAACCAGCGGTTGCCTGGCAAGATACCCCCAGATTTTTCGTACATCAGGGGCCATAATCCAGAAATTTCTGGTCTGAAATGTGCAAATATTGAATGGGATATAAAGATATATTTTTAGTTTCATCAAAATTGGATAAAAATTGTGACCTCTGGAGGGTCCACAACCTTCGTATTTCATACTTTTACACAATTTGTGTACAAAGAGCGGTCATTTTGTCGGGCGGTTTTCGTTTCGATTTTTCTGAAATTCGAATTCAACCTCATTATGGTGGAATGGTGATATATGCAAATAGTGAAAGGAACCAAGGTCTTTGGGACATAAACATATATTCTAAGTTTCATCAAAATTTGAAAACAATTGTGACTTGTCGAGGGTCCACAACCTTGTTATACCATATTTTTACAATATCTGTGTACGAGAGGAGTCATTTTGTCTGATTTTCAGGAAATTTCGAACTCAACCATTATAAGGGTGTAATGGTGATATATTTACACGCTTTTTTGAAATTGTGACCTCTAGAGGAACCACAAGCTAAAAATGTGATTCTTCGTACAATCGGGGGCCATAATCCAGGAAGTTATACTCATAGCCCGATATGCGCAAATATCAAAAGGAATATAAGCATACATTTCAAGTTTCATCAAAATCGGATAAGAATTGTGACTTCTAGAGTGTCCCCAACTTACATACTTCTACACAATTTGCGTACAAGTTTCGGACAACATGTCCGGCTATTTTGGTCAGATTTTTACGAAATTCGAACTCATACTTCATTGATGTTTAGCGGTGATATATATATAAACGTTTTTTAAAATTGAATACAAATTGTGACTTCTAGCGGGTCCACAAGCTAAAAATGTGATTTTTTCGAACAATCGGGGGCCATAATTACATTCGGATATGTGCGATTATCGAAAGGAACCAATGTCTTTGACTCGCAGTTTCGGTTCAATTTTCAGGAAATTTGAACTCAACCATTATCAGATGGCAACGGTCAAAATAGTTACATGGTTTTTTTAAATTGGATTAAAAACGCGATTGTTAGTACAATCAGGGGTCATAATTCTGGAATTTGAGACGTGATATGCGCGAATATCAGAAGGAACCAAGATCTTTGGGTTATAAACATGCATTTCAAGTTTCATCAAAATCAAATGAAAATTGTGACCTCTAGAGTGTCCACAAGCTAAAAACATGATTTTTCGTACAATCAAGGGCCATAATCCATGAAGTTATGGTCCGATACATGCCAATATCAAATGGAACTGAGACCTTTGGGAGATAGACCTATTTTTTTTAAGTTTCGTTAAAATTTGATAACAATTTTGACCTATATACTGTCCACAAACAAATTGTGGACGGACGGCCAGATGGACTGAGGCGACGGCATATGTCCACATGAAAATGTGGATGTATAAAAATGTTTGTCTTCGGCCATCAAAAAGAGAAATCCAGCGTTGTTCCAGTCGTTATAGAAGGCAGATCTGGATAATTGCGTCATTGAGGGAATTCCTTCTATGGTCTAGGTCAGGGAAACCTACTCGTTTGGTAGTTATAGTTTTTTCTTTCCGCATCTATCTCCATTATTACACAACAAACGTTCGAACTGTTATGTGTCCTCCGAGTCATTTTACACACTGAACAAGTGTGCAAAGTCTTATTAATAAGATTGGTGCTTAAAAGTCAATGCATATTTTAATGCCCTTAAATTTCATGTTGAACATGAATAAAATACAGTAAGCGTAACTTTTCTATTGATAGACACCCATAATACATTACATTGAAAAGGACCAGATTAACTGTATTTAATGTATATTGTGATCAGGTATTGGTGGATTATTTAAGCAATTAGAGCAAATTATGCTCTAACAATATACTAATCCAGGAATAATCCCATTAATCCTTCCTTACCTTTAGAGTTTGAGTAAACTCCTCCACATTAGATTCTCTTTCCTTGGTCCCATTTATATACACCTACAAAATTGATCAATATGAAAACCATAATACCCGGTATATAAAATAATTTGGAAAATATTTCCCCGTTTTTCTTGAATTGCTTTCCTCATTGTTAGTTTGTTTTCATTTTGAGTCAAGCCTGTATTACTACAAGGGCAGGCAGAAAATATCAACACTGCTGATAATCATTGATAAAGTGCTGATAATCATTGATAAAGCATTTTGCAGACCAATAGTCGATAGATTTAAAATATCGATAATTGCGCAATTATAGGTATCGATATATACACTTTATTGTTTGGAATGTCTGTGTATATTGTATAATGTCCGGGAGTCTGTCTTGCGTGTTGTACAGTCTTCCGGCACTTGCTATAAAAATTATTATGTTAAAACAGTAGAATTGGTCAATTTTTGGAATAATAATATTGATAATATAAAGTACTACATGTATGATAACCATATCTTTTATGGAACAAATCTATTTTGTGTCCATATAATAAACATTAATTAGGGTTATAATTACCTGAAATGGTACAGTTATATCTTCAGGTGCTAAATTTAGTGAGTTTTCTACATTTTGTCTGGTATCTAATCTATCAATCTGAAATGTTATCCCTTCTCCATCTAAAAAAAACAACAACATACAGATAGTTAACATGTGTTGTAGGTTATGTCAATTCAAGTTATTCTAAAAATTATAAATGTTATTCCACAAAGGGCAAAAAGTTCCTTTATTCATTGGCAGAAAATGTGACAATTACCAGTACCTTATACCAGTAACTGGGTAACAAAGGAGTTTCTCATATCCTGCTGGATGCACATAATTAATTTACATGATGCAATGTCTCCTTATTTTGCCATGCCTTCCCCTTACTGTAGTATTTTCTTGTACATGTAAGTCACTATCAGTTAAAACTAAGCATTCTACAGCACACTTTTATAGAAGATATTACATGGCCACTGCTTAATCATCATTATATGTAATTATTACAATAGTTTGGTATTGAAATATGATATGCAGAGCCCTTTTTTTTTTGGACCTGAAACATACATTCTTTATGTGTATACTAATTAAAGTCAAATGTAACATAACATACCGTCATCAACTATAAGAGATCCTAGTAATATTGTTGTTAAAGTTTGCAGTGGGTTATTTTCACACTGACGATGTAATAGTCTTAATAATTTGTCAGATAAATGTACCCGTGGTTTTCTGAAAGAAAAAGATAGGTTGCCAGGCAACGAAACATACGCCCACAGCAGCTATATCGTCCGGGCAGTCAACAAGAGTTGTCGCATATTTTTACTTTTTTCTGTAATGAAACATTTATAATACATTAAAATCTGATTAAGAGTAACAACTCATTAAGTAATTATCAGAAAACCATTAGAATTTGTTTTTATAAAGTTCTGCCCCATGCTAACGTTTAGTATACGAAACTTGTAACATCATGGATTTAGCTGTTCAAGTCATAAAGATTCATTGAAAATCAATATACTTGTTCGTCTCAAGACCTTAAACACTGTATAAATTTAAAATCAATCGGATATTAACTTTAGCCTCTAGAGTGTCCTCAAGATTTTTGGCAAAAATTATAGAAAATCGCTGAAAATCAATAGGAATCTTCGTCTCATGACCTTAAACACTGTGTATAAATTTAAAGTCAATCGGATATTAACTTTAACCTTTAGAGTGTTCACAAGATTTTTCAAAGTGATCAAGGGCCATAACTCTAGCTGTAATTATCGGAAATCGCTGAAACTCAATAGGCTTCTTCGTCTCATGACCTTAAACACTGTGCATAAATTTAAAGTCAATTGGATATTAACTTTCACCTCTAGAACGTCCACAAGATATTTTGAAGTGATCAAGGGCCATAACTCTGGCAGTAATTATCGAAAATCGTTGAAAATCAATAGGCTTCTTCGTCTCATGACCTTAAACACTGTGTATAAATTTAAAGTCAATCGGATATTAACTTTGACCTTTAAAGCGTACACAAGATTTTTCAAAGTGATAAAGGGCCATAACTCTGGCAGTAATTATCAAAAATCGCTGAAAATGAATAGACTTCTTCGTCTCATGACCTTAAACACTGTGTAAGAATTTAAAGTCAATCGGATATTAACTTTAGCCTCTAGAGCGTCCACAAGATTTTTTGAAGTGATCAAGGGCCATAACTCTGGCAGTAATTATGGGAAATCGCTGAAAATCAATAGGCTTCTTCATCTCATGGCCTTAAACACTGTGTATAAATTCAAAGTCAATCGGATATTAACTTTAGCCTCTAGAGCATCCACAAGATTTTTTGAAGTGATCAAGGGCCATAACTCTGGCAGTTATTATCGGAAATCGCTGAAAATCAATAGGCTTCTTCGTCTCATGACCTTAAACACTGTATATAAATTTAAAGTCAATCGGATATTAACTTTAGCCTCTAGAGGGTCCACAAGCAATTGTGGACGCCGGACGGACGGACGGGGGCGACGACAATATACGACCACATTTCAATGTGGGCGTATAAAAATCAAATGAATCAATCAAATCAACTTTATTGTTATGATTTTTCTATCATAAAAATACAATAAACTTAGCTTGGAGTAATTCTGTGCCATGTTCGGACCTAGTAAAACCCTGTTAACTTATATTAGAATGGATGGTGTACAGTGTACACCATTAAATTAAAATAGAGGAATGACCATTTTTATAATTCAAAAGAAAAGTTAAAGGATGTATAATTAAATCTGTCTTCCTAATTTTAACAATAGCAAACAATTGTAATAATGAATAGCTGAATCATTACATGTATATTACATTCATGTGACTTCATACTTACTGATAATAATATTCAAAGGATAATGATCGCAATGACATAATATGTAAAGTGTGCACAAAACATATCACAAGCATTGAATACTCCATTGTTATCAGATTTATCTAAATATTCACATGAAAGTTATGGCATCAGTGACGAGAATATGCAGCATGCCATATTTTCAATGAGCTTCATTTGATGTTTTAATGTAAAAACTCACCTATAACATGCAACACTGAGGTAGATTGGTGTTCCTATTGGTGTTGGATCCCATAATATCACTTTGGCTTTAGGAAAGTGGAGCATCCCATAGCTTGATACCCTGAACAACATAAATTACATCTCAAAAGGAAATTCAATTAACTGAAATTCTTTTATTTTTATTCAAAATTCAAGTCTTAAACTCAAATATTTTAATTTATTTTTAATTTAAGTGCAATAGTACCCAGAATGACTACAACATGTTACTCTGATACTAACTGGTAAGGAAAGAAAACTATATGAGCACTAAATTTTCAAGATAAGTTCAAAGGAAAAATCCCTTCACTGGTTTGGGTTGAATTGATAGCTCTGATGAAAGAAATTTAGTAAGTGATATTCATTGGTATGAGGTGATTTCCATTGTAACTATACCGGCTATGGAGAAATGTAATGAAATCTTGTAGTTTTTAACAATCGTCACCCAATTCCTAACACTGTTCATAACATAATGAAAACATGTCTGAACTAAATATTTATCAATCCTAATTCCAGGAATCAGAAATACAATACAGCATTAAACTAAAGATGGGTTCCATGTACAAACTGGGTGATTTAATGGTATCTATGGACTAAAAACATATTCAAACTAATTAATTGTCATAATTTTGCTTCAAATCCTTCTCAAACATTGTAATTGCGAAGGAATGTCCTGCTATAAAAATTCCATCAAACCCGGTCACGTTTACGTCATGTGACTTACCTCTCTTGGAAGTCAGAGAAGAATTCATTGCATACATAAGACGATGTTGTCTTTAATCGCTTACTATTTATTTCAAATATTGAATCCTAATTAAATTCTCGGATTATCCACTACCAGCGTCTTTTTCATCTCAGAAAGTGTTGTACGTCTAACTCTTCATAAAGTTTATCAACTTGTACATCAAGCGCTCAATGTTAGCGTGTGACCTTTGACATCACGCGTGCAGAAATTCCTAATCTTCGGGCTGTTAATATGGGGAACCCTTACATTTTTGTCCTGTATACGCTCCATGAGTGTTTTTCAGGGAATCCAGTATTTTTCTAGTAAGATTGGATATCTCTACTTTCCATATACCAAAATTACCATACTTTTATTGGAAATAACCACCCGATAAATACTTTTCTGGGAACCCATCTTTAAACTAAAGATATGTATCAGTTTTTCAAATGTAAGACTCACCCATTTTGTTTGGTCTGGCTACTTGTTCCACCTAGTTGTGACCATATATGATCAGGCATATTTCTTATACTTATAGGTATTGCCATTCAGTAATTGGCCTGAAAACAATCCACATAAAATCTTACTTTTCAGTCCACTGTACTTTTTAATTAATACAAACCATTTGGGCTTATAATGGTTTCTATTTCAACATCTAAATTATTTAGATCACAAAACTGTACTAGGAACTTTTTACATTTTACTGCATCTTTTGCTTTATAATTCAGTCACTTTAAAGAATATTCATAACCACAGTTTAATGAATCTTATTCTGAGATCCTAAATCCTTATTCAATTTTCAAATAGGAAAGATACATGTTCAGTTGGATTTTAGCATCACATTTATAATTTATTGCACAACCAGATTATAACTGTGTCCCTCTCATAAATGTATCTATCTGCTAGCCTAGATCTACATAAAATATGCTTCTAAAAGTTAAATGCAGCGAGATAACAAAATAGTAGCAAAAATTATTTCATTGGTTTTTGACAGGTAAACTAGGCCTACTAGCCGGCCATTCCTCATTTCATTTGTCAACATGCATGAGCTTGTTTTCACTACCGCGAATTACGCCGGGCATACCAATAAACGTGTGACTACTTGAATGATATTATTGGTGTTCGCATTTTTTAAAAATAATTTGGTCAATAAGAAACTATAGAACGTATATTCAAACGTTGACACTGTTTGGCAATGACCCATGATGTTTAGCCAATCACCGAAATTTTGGCAAATGTCAAAACTTTTTTAAACGAATATAAAAAAAAGTGACAGGACACAACAAAGGTTGTCATACATTTTCTAGTAAACAAAAACTAGATACATTTCGTTCAATTTATAGATATCTTTCTATTTGGAAATTAAATATGATTTTTAATTTCTGGCTTCAAAATTCAAATATACGTGATAGATTCAAACTAAATTAAACAAGCTTGAAAACGCATAAACACGGCTTCTATCTTACCCATCCGAAACATCAGCATTGGCGCTTAGTAGTCAAACAATTTACAAACAGCGCGTGCGCAAGCCTCATTTTGAGTAGAAGTAGGGCTAACTTCCTGTCCACATGTTATTGTGATTGTTGCGACAACTAGGGCCTAATAGCCAATTATTGGTTCGAAATACTGATTTATTCTAGTATTCAAATTTATCAGTTGCTAAAGACCACCCGAATAAATATTCCATGTATGTGATTGTTTCCCGTTAGGTAACGGGTGCCTGAAAACTTTACTACTGACAGCCACTCTACTGTCACGTCTTGGTCCCCGCCCACCACACACAATCACTGAATCAGTCCACTGGTTGTTATCGACATCGCCACCTCAAAAAGGGGTCATCTAGCACATCCACATAACTGTACACAGGTGTTGTGTTTGATTCTCGGATAAGTCCGGGATAAATACAACGTGACAAAATTGCCACGCTTATAATACGCCGGCTTCTAGAGACGAAGTGGAATTGTAAATATCTTCCGGTTATTACACCTGAGAAATTAATCAGAAATAGATTTGAATCCAAACATAGTGATATTATTATTGTTCATAGGCCAATAACAAAACTTACTTTTGGATCAAATAGACTGAATTTTTTTAGACATTATAGCAATATGTCTGGAACTTGTTACAATGTGATGTTTGTTTTGGGTGGTCCTGGTGCAGGAAAAGGGACACAGTGTCAAAAAATTGAACAGGTAAAATTAATTAAGATTTATAAAGATAATCAGCTAGACCAATTCCTAATAGTCCCCACCTCAAAATTCTTTTTTATTATTCAGCAGAAAACTCGTAAATAATTCTTAGAAGTTCAATTCATATATATCAATTCATATTCAAATAAATTAAATTTTCCCCCATTTGGTCTGTAAAAAAAAAAATCACTGATACAAACTACTTTTTTATTTGGAATTTTTGTAAAATTATTTTGAAATGAAACAAAGTAGGCTAAGTACCAGAATCTGTCCACCTGTATTTGCACCTAAAGTGAACTGTGGTTAGTTTTTAAGTAAACTATATCTGGTGGACAGATTCTAAGCTCAATCTTATAATCCTATTATTGAAACTTTATAGTATTATTACAATACTATTCACACAGAATGACTAAAGCAAAGTACATTGGGGCATTAATAGGATGGTATAAAAAGCTGAGATCCCACATACAAATTGTACAACGTATAGCATTCAAAAAAGGGCAGGCGGAAATGACACTTTTCATTCAACATTATCACATTTCACATGTAAACATAGAAATAAGAAAATGTTAGTCTGTATTCGACCTAGTTGGTTTGTTTCTGTTCTACACTTGTAGGTTTTTCCAAAGAACCCTGTTAAAGATCAATATGCACAAGCGAATTATTGAAATAAGAGTTCCATATGTTAGTCCCAAAATGGTCTAGTTGTGTTTAGTGGACAATAAAATCCTATTTTCCCTATACAACCTAAGTATAGTGTCAGTGGCAAATACATTAATGAAAATTGATGTGATTTTTAGTCTGTAATATCCAACTTAGTCATAAAGCCCAGATACTGACACAAGTAGGGCTCTCTATCTTTAAGGTATGGTCAAAACAAATGGGGAAAAGGGGTGGGGGTATCAAAGTTTCTAACATCTATCATAGATAGGTCAGTCCCATTAGAGATCTGATATTTATGCCAATATATGTATGAAACCATGTGTATGACTATGTCATAATATATCTAGAATGCAGTTCAAGCATCTCATTTCAATATAGGTTCCCATTTTGGTGACCCAACCAACTAAATTGACGAAACACATTTTAGTTATCTTATAGCGGTAAACATTCTATAAGACTCAGTAAGAGTAGTGCAACAATCAGAAATTTGTTACCAGTAGAAATATATGTTTATGTATCCTATTTTTCAGGAATTCGGTTATGTTCATTTGTCAGCTGGTGACTTACTCAGAGCAGAACGAAAAAAAGATGAATCTGAATACAAAGATGAAATAGAAAAACATATACGAAATGGATCTATCGTTCCTGTTGAAATAACTTGTGCTTTATTACAAAAAGTAAGATATAAAAATAAGAAGGACATTTTTTGTTAGTTCTTGGATTGTCATTGAGATTTTTGTAATGTTGAAATGATTTAAAGTTAGGGTTTCACACTGCATAGCTTGTGTGAAACACTATTGTTTTGTTAAGATTCTTCTTCTTATTATTATTTTTTTGTCCCCCGCCTTTCGAAGAAAGCAGGGGACTATTAATATGGGTTCGTCCGTCTGTCTGTCTGTTTTTCTGTCCGTCTGTGTCTGTCCGTCACACTTTTTGGGACACAATAACTCTCATTCTGAGTTAGAATGTTCAAACTTGGTGTAGTTGTTTATAAGGTCAATGCCTTGATGGAGTCCGACGTTGAGCATTTTCTGTTAAGGGTAAGCAGAGATAAGCAATTTGATTGGTTGATGCTTTGGGACACGATAACTTTAGTTCTAATTAAGTGAGAGTGATGAAACATGGTGTATAGTTTCATTACATCAATACCTTGACTAAGTTCGATAATGAGCATTTTCTGCTCAGGGTAAGCAGAGCAATAAGCAATTTGATTGGTCAAGACTTTGGAACACAATAACTCTCATTCAAATTGAGCAAGACTTAGGAACACAAAAACTCTCATTCAAATTGTGCAAGACTTTGGAACACGATAACTCTCCTAATTGAGGTAGAATGTTCAAACTTGATGTGAGCGTTCATGAGGTCAATGCCTTGATGGAATTCGATGATAAACATTGTCTGCTTACAGTAAGCAGAGATAAGCAATCTGATTGGTTGATGCTTTGGGGCACGATAACTTTGGTTATAATTAAGTGAGAGTGATAAAACTGAGTATAGATTCATTATATCATTACCTTTACTAACTTTGATGATGAGAATTTTCTGCTTAGGCTAAGCATTGATAAGCAGTTTGATTGGGCAAGACTTTGGAACATAACAACTCTGCTTTTAATTGAGGTAGAATGTTTAAACTTGATGTAGATTATAACATAATTTCAAGTAGAACACGATCTGGATTGGACATTAATTTATTCTAGCAACAGCATTACCATATTAGAAAAAAGAGAGACCCTTCTCTGGTGAGCTTCAAAGCTCCACTCTCCTACTGATTTATCGCAAACACCTCAGCTAATTTATACTAAACTTAGATGTGGTATAAAGTTAATTAAAGTATGCGTATACATATATTATTGATAATAATATATCAAAATAAAGAACTACACAATGAATCAGCTGTCATTGATAGATTATTTCACCAATATCATATTGATGTTGGCGACACTTGAACACTATTAAATGTAATTACCGGTCAGTGTCGATCCACTTTTAACACATTAATAGTTCACAATATACACTAATCATCTATAAAACAATAAAACACACATAACAGCCACCATAGGATCCACAAACAAACAAAAATTATCAGCACAAAAAATGTTTCATATTCTATCAGGAAATATTTATATACTGAGCGCCATGGTATAACAAATATTGTGAACAATATTCAAATGGGAACACATCAATAACAACACATTTGTACACGTATGGATGTTTAATCTGTAATCAAGGGTACAAAGTCAGAGGGGTCAAAACCAAAAGTACGACACAGATGTCAGTAGCGTGTGTGTCCTCCACGGGCTCTTACGCAACGCACGCTGTGCAGCGACGTCGCATGGAATTTACCAATGTTTGAAAGAAGGCCTGGGGCAAATTGTTCCATTCTTGGACAAGTACAGCTTCTAAAGCAGCAATGGTGTGCATCTAAGGTCTCAGATACAGACGGCGTCCAATCTCATCCCAGACATGTTCTATCGGTGCCATGTCCGGATAAAAAATCAAGGGTACAAAGTCAGAGGGGTCAAAACCAAAAGTACGACACAGATGTCAGTAGCGTGTGTGTCCTCCACGGGCTCTTACGCACGCTGTGCAGCGACGTCGCATGGAATTTACCAATGTTTGAAAGAAGGCTTGGGGCAAATTGTTCCATTCTTGGACAAGTGCAGCTTCTAAAGCAGCAATGGTGTGCATCTGAGGTCTCCGATACAGACAGCGTCCAATGTCATCCCAGACATGTTCTATCGGTGCCATGTCCGGATAAAAATGAAAGCGACTCTCATCACTGAAGAGCACACTTTGCCAGTCTACTCTTCGCCATGTCTGGTGTCCTTGAGCCCATATCAAACGCCGCTGACGGTGATGATCCCTGAGGATAGCTCCAACATAAGGTCGTCGTGCACGTAGTCCTACTTCTCTTAGACGACGTCTTACGGTGTTGGCACTTACTGGTCCTTGTCTTCCGACGACTGCTGCACCTGATCGAGTCACTGGGCGGAATCTGTCACGCAGATGAGTGACCCGGATGTAGCGGTCTTGAGCCTGGGTTGTAACGCATTGTGGACCAGGACGTTGACGGTCACGCGTTGATCCAGTAACTCAAACACGTTCCACCAACCTTACAATAGTGGACCGATGACAATTGAAGTGTCGGGCAATAGCACGTGTAGACATGCCAGCCCTGGACATTCCCATGGCTTCATTCCGTTGATTTTCAGTAAGTCTCGGCATCTCTAGCTCGATTCTTTCACACATCCAACAACAAATTACGACAGATTGACGTTTCACAGTTCATGTACTGCACATTAAGTTGAAAACATGCTTTTAAAGGGCTCACACACAATGCTGCATGTGAATATTGGGTTTTTCATGTGCATCTCGTGCAATTTTTGTTTTTTTTGCACACGGGCTGATATTATTTGCATTTGGGAGCATTGTGTGAAACAATAGTTCATAGTATTGCATAATATTATACATACAAAGCCACCTAGTAATAAAATATTTGGGAAAAAAAGTGATGCGTTTTCCATGGCGCTCAGTATATTTCCTATAATTGGAACAACCATTTTCTTCCATAATATATATAATGTTTATCCATTTTCTTCTTCTTAATTTAAAGTTAATGAAGGGTAAATTGATCTTTCCTTTGGTGATGCAGAGGTATCATCTTCTCCTTTCAGCGTAATTTTGCCTTCAGTCTTCGCCGACACCATCTTGGTCAGAGCAGAATACGTTGCTCTGACATCTTTGTTATTTCGTATATTAATAAATAAGTATATTAAAAGTACACAACAATTAAAAAACAAAACAAAGAAAACCCACAGAAAATTAAAGAATTACAGCTAAATATTAAAATTAGGGTCTTGTCAAATTGCTTTTACTTGAGATAATCGATCATGAATATTTTGAACACATATAATTATCTTCAATAAGATATTTTCTGTTTGATAACACATCAAATGTTCAATTGATTTATCTTCCTATACATAACAAACAACACAAGATCTACCATATTGCTCTTAGTCAGCCAACCCTAACTCTTTGAGGGTAATACATATTAAAAATCTAGGTCAGCGAATTGTCTAACTTGAACTCTCTCACCCTGTAACAAGATGTTCATTAGGTGAAGATTAACATTTCAAGCTAAAGCTAAGCAGAGCTAAGCAATTTCATTGGTCGATGTTTTGGGACAAGATAATTTGAATTCTATCTGATAGAGAGTGATAAAACTTAGTGTATAGGTGATAATCTGTTTGATTGCTTGATACTTTTGAAAAAAATAAATGTGTGATTTTTGAATATGTGTCATCTATTTATTTTGGGATTTCGGCGGGGGACATCAGCCTCACTGTTGGCCTGTTTTTTTTTCACTTGAGCATATCTCGGGAACTACTTGTTGGATCAACTCGATGTCTTCAGTTTTAGGCGCCAATTTTGAAAATTTAAATTTTGACAAAAAACTCTTTTATTTATAAATGCTTTTTTATGAAATTTTACCCAGGATTAAAGGGTCATGTGATTTGAGCAAAAATGTGAAAAAAAATTGTCTCGATAATTTTCCTTGGCCGCTATTGGCTAATTCAGTTTATGGGTTCTATGATAATTATTTATTGCCCGATTTGTATAAAACAAAGTTCATATCCTCAATGGTGCAATTTCTCAACAATTTTATTACCAACAAAGTTTTCTGTCGGCACCGGAAATGACGTTATATTGCCAAAAACATCTTTCTGCAAGTAAATATTAATTATTACAAATCTTACAGATCAAGATGAATGCACCTACTAAAGGCACAAAAAAAGTCGGACTCGTTTTTTTTTAGTTTCCGTTTTGTATTTGCGCTATTTTGATTTAAAGGTGAAAAAAGATGTAAAAGTGAGCTATTTACAACCCATTCAGGCTTTTCATATTTTAAAAAAATTCTTCCTAACTTTCATAATCTTGTAGCATTAATCCATACGCAGATATTGTAAGTAAAATTTAGTTTGTGATATTAGCAGTCCCTTTTTATGTTATTTTGCCTGAAAAGGAGTCAATTATTATTGGATTTTCATAAAAGTGATACCATTTGATGCATAAGGCAAATATGTCTTCTATCAAACTTATAACAATTTCAAATTGACACCGGAAGTGACGCCATTTTGTCAAAAACTGTACTTTTAACCTTTAAAATCAATATTTTTTCAACTAAAAATTATTTAATATGTATTAAACATTTTAACTTTTGGTTTAAATCAACATATTAATTAAATTCATATGATCATACAGATACCACAAAATGGTTTCTAACTTGTACGGTTGCAGAGAAATAGACGATTTTCTACAAGTCACTTTTCAAGGTTTTTGGTCTATAAAAGTGGCAGTTATTATTCGATTTACATAAAATTTTCACCATGTGATGCCTTATGCCATTTATGATTTCACAGACATAATTTAACATTTTCATTATCACCAGAAGTAATGTCATTTTGGCAAAAATGTATTTTTAGTCTTCAAAACAAATACTTTTTTGAATTGAGCAATATTCATTTTTTGTATAAAATTATGATATTTGATTCCAATGGACAAATAGTATGAATCAGTGCAATCACTTTCCATGCCGAAAAATAACCAATTTTGTCAGGATCACTTTTTACGATTTTTCGCATTTTAATTTTAGGTTCTGGGTTAATTAAATATTACCCGATTCATATAAAACAAAAGCTCATATGCTCTGTGGTGCAATTTCTCAACTTTTTTCTACAGATAAACTTTTCTGTCGACACCGAAAGTGAGGTAATTTTGCCCAAAACTTCAATTTTGACGTGTCGAAAGTTCTTAAGAGAAATATTTATTTTTACAAATCTAAAAGATGAAGATGAATGCTCCTACTAAAGACGCAAAATATGTTCTGCTTTTTTTTTTTTTGTCCCCCGCCTTTCGAAGAAAGCAGGGGACTATTAAAATGGGTTCGTCCGTCTGTCTGTCTGTCTGTCTGTCTGTCTGTCTGTCTGTCTGTCTGTCTGTCCGTCTGTCTGTCCTTCTGTCTGTCCGTCTGTCTGTCCGTCACACTTTTTGGGACACAATAACTCTCTTCCTAATTGAGCTAGAATGTTCAAACTTGGTGTATGTGTTTATTAGGTCAATGCCTTGATGGAGTTCGAAGATGAGCATTTTCCGCTTAGGGTAAGCAGAGATAAGCAATTTGATTGGTTGATGCTTTGGGACACGATAACTCTCTTCCTAATTGGGCTAGAATGTTCAAACTTGGTGTATGTGTTGATTAGGTCAATGCCTTGATGGAGTTCGAAGATGAGCATTTTCCGCTTAGGGTAAGCAGAGATAAGCAATTTGATTGGTTGATGCTTTGGGACACGATAACTTTTAATTGAGCTAGAATGTTCAAACTTGGTGTATGTGTTTATTAGGTCAATGCCTTGATGGAGTTCGAAGATGAGCATTTTCCGCTTAGGGTAAGCAGAGATAAGCAATTTGATTGGTTGATACTTTGGGGCACGATAACTCTCTTCCTAATTGAGCTAGAATGTTCAAACTTGGTGTATGTGTTGATTAGGTCAATGCCTTGATGGAGTTCGAAGATGAGCATTTTCCGCTTAGGGTAAGCAGAGATAAGCAATTTGATTGGTTGATGCTTTGGGACACGATAACTTTAGTTCTAATTAAGTGAGATTGATGAAACTTGGTGTATAGTTTCATTACAGTAATACCTTGACTAAGTTTGATAATGAGCATTTTCTGCTCAGGGTAAGCAGAGCGATACGCAATTTGATTGGTCGAGACTTTGGAAAACAATAACTCTCCTACTTTGATTGTCCCCCGCCTTTCGAAGAAAGCAGGGAACTATTAAAATGGGTTCGTCCGTCTGTCTGTTTGTCTGTCTGTCCGTTCCGCTTATGGTAAGCAGAGATAAACAATTTGATTGGTTGATCTTCGAATTGAGTAAATGTTCATGCTTATTGTCCCCCGCCTTTCGAAGAAAGCAGGGAACTATTAAAATGGGTTCGTCCGTCTGTCTGTTTGTCTGTCCGTTCCGCTTAGGGTAAGCAGAGATAAACAATTTGATTGGTTGATGCTTTGGGACACTATAACTTTAGTTCTAATTAAGTGAGAGTGATGAAACTTGGTGTATAGTTTCATTACAGTAATACCTTGACTAAGATCGATAATGAGCATTTTCTGCTCAGATTAAGCAGAGCGATAAGCAATTTGATTTGCTGAGACTTTGGAACACAATAACTCTCTAATTATTTTCCTATTTCGGCGGGGGACATCAGCCTCACTGTTGGCTTGTTTTTTTGGTTTTTGCATTTGTGCCATTTTGATTTAAGGATGAAACAAAGGTGTAAAAGTAAGCCATTTACAATGCATTTAGGCTTTTCACATTTTAAAATATTTATTGACAACTTTCATAAATCTGTAGCATTAATCCATACGAAGACTATGTATTTCAAAATAAGTTTGTAATATTAGCAGTTGCCGAGAAATAGGCGATTTTGCATGAGTCACTTTTCCCGTTTTTTAGCCTGTAAACGAGTACTATAGTCCAATTTTCGATTATTTTTCATCTTGTGATGCCTAATGCTCTTTTGACTGGGTGGAACCAATTTCACATTTTCTATGTCACCAGAAATGGCGTCATTTCGACAAAAATTGTATTTTTAGCCTTCAAAACAAATATTTTATTCAACTGGGTCATATTTGTAATTTGTTTATAATTAAGATATTTGCTTACAATCAAGAAATAAAATGAACCCATACGAACATATTGATATCACGATATGGTTTCTAACTTCTTCAGGGGGGGTGGATGGCCGAATGGTTAGCATGTGCGCACTGCGCTGTATCATACTGTCTGTCATTGAGTCAACTGGCAGGGTTTTGATTCCCCGGTTGTACGTGACAAGGAGTAGGGTCGCCTGTCCAACCTCGTGGGTTTTCTCCGGGTCCTCCGGTTTCCTCCCACTGTTAAAGACCCCTACGCGCAAGCGAATTATTGGAATAAAATTGAACTATGTGTTAGTCCCAAAATGACCTAGTTTGTGTCAAGTGGACGTTCAACCCCATATCTCTCTCTCTCTCTCCTTCTAACTTCTTCAGTTGCGGAGAAATAGATGTGTTTCTACAAGTCTCTTTTCAAGGTTTTTTGTCCATAAAAGTGTCAATTATTATTCAATTTTCATAAAATTTTCACCATGTGATGCCTAATGTCAATTACGATTTCCTAAAACTGATTTATCATTTTCATTGTCACCAGAAGTAATGTATTTTGGCAAAAACCATATCTTTAGCCTCCAAAACAACGATTTGTTTGAAGTAAGGGATATTCATTATTCGTATAAAATTATGATATTGGATTTCAATGAACAAATAGTATTAATCAATACGATCATATAAATATCAAGGAGATGTTTTTAACGTCTTCTCGTGCCAAGAAATAACCCATTTTGTCAGTATCACTTTTTAAGATTTTTAGCATTTTAATGAGGCTTTGTAAAGGGTTAATTCTGCTCAAATTTTAATCAATTTTTGTGTATGCAAAGGACAATCAAAGTGATTATTTCAGTATTCCAATTTAAATATTTTGTTGATAACGGAAGTGATGTCATGGCGTCGAGTCTTCGTTGTACAAATGGAATTGATATTGCAGGATGTATTGGCTAATTCTGTGTCAATTTTATAGCACATGTTCAATGCTCATGTGGAAATCTGTTTAATGTTTCTATTGGTACAGGAAATGACATCAGTTCAAGGATAAAGTGGCACCGGTGAAACCCGTCATTACAACATCTAAGTTCTAGTTTGGATTTGATATTACATTAATCACTAGCATAGCCCAGGTTTTGATTAAAAAAAGAACTCTGTTCACAAATTAAAATCCCTCATTTCCTGAGTTTGCACTTTCTAGAGGAGTTATGTACTTTCAACCTATATAGCAGTGTAGTTATTAAATTTTGTAAAATCATCCTATAATAATAAATTAAAGTTGATGAAACATTAATTGCTGAATATGACGATCGGTCCACCACTGAAATTATTTAGGTACTTGTAAGACACAGCAAACAAGGAGTAGGGTTAGATTTGTTTTAAATATTAAAAGAACTCAAAATTATGTTTAAAGCGGAAATTGCAAATTTTCTAAGAAAGTCAAAACGTAATTATTTCTATGTCTTTTGCTCAAAAGGTTGTCAACTCACAATTATACGATTATAGGTGTCATTCTCACACTTAAGATTCATTTAGACAGGAAATAATAACACAATTACCTCCAAATTACCTCCCTTGTTTTCTATTCTCCACCATGGAGTAGCGATATTCAAACGTTTAAAAAAGAAGAGGAAAATGATATTTTTGGCAATTTCTCAGCTGGCAATAGTGAATTATAGGATTAATAGGATTATTCTTTAACAAGGTAGGACTGTTTATGGATACCATCTATTTTCAGGCTTTTTTTTAATAAATTTTAAAAATATAACTTAAAAATTTGCAATTTCCGCTTTAAGTAAGTTAGACCTCAAAATCACAAATAATTTAGATGCTATTTTGAATTTACAGGCAATGAAAGAGAGTGGTAAAAACCATTTTCTTATAGATGGGTTTCCAAGAAACAAAGATAATTTAGATGGCTGGAATAACACAATGCAAGGAATTGCAGAAGTGAAAAGAGTTATATTTTTTAATTGTCCTGTAGATGTAAGCAAATTTTATACGTGGGTGAATGTTGTTGTTTTGTCTATCCATGCTGTTATTCAGATTTTTATATGTCCACATTGAAATATTGTCGCATATTGTAATCACTCCTGTCCATCCCTCCGCTTTTTGGCCCTTGATTAATTTTGAACAATGTTTTGCACACTCTTGAGGCTCAACTTATTATTCAATTGACTTAAAATGTATACACTATGTTTATGTTCATGAGACGACAAAGTCTATTTATTTTCAATGGTTCGAATATTTAATTTTGGAGTTATTGCTATTGATCAAATTGAAAAATCTTGTGGACGCTCTCAATGTAATCATCCCCAATTGACAGTGTACCTTTCATAAGATAAAGAACCCTATTGTTTTTTAACAATTTCTGATTGCTCTTGATCAATTTAAAAAATCTTGTGCATGTTCTAGAGACTAGATTTATTATCCAGTTGACTTGATATACATAGTGTTTAAGATAATGCGGCGGAGAAGCCTATTTATTTTGAACAATTACTGTTTGACTTTTTCCCCTTGGTAAATTTGAAAAATCTTGTGGCCATTCTAGAGGCTAAATAAAATAAAACCAAGTACAAACAATCCAAACCATAAGACAGAATTCGAAGTCCTAAAAAACGTTATAGGCAAAATAGTGTATTCAAGCAAAATAGTGTAATCAGCAAATGGACTGCTCCTCGTGTACAAAATACACGACAAACAGTGGTAACAGGTGTCCGGAAGAGTAAGCTTACCCTGCCTGGCGCCACAATTCATTTGACTTGAAATTTATACACAATAGTTAATAAGTTAATGATCATAAAGAAGCCTAATGATTTTCAACTTTCCAATAACTCAAAACAGTTCAAGGTATCATCTGAATACTGGTACAAGTTTTGTCATTTGCAAGTTTTACAAAGTATTAATGTCTGTGAGATGAAGAAGCTGATAATCACTTCAAGTTATTGTACTTGATCAGTTTGAAAAATCCTGTGAACTCTCAATATTCCAAGTAAATCATATTATTATTATTATTTTTTTTTTTTAAATTAGACATGTGTAGAAAGATGTTTGACAAGGGGGAAAACAAGTGGAAGAGCAGATGACAATAAAGAGAGTTTAGAAAAAAGGTTCTGTAAAATATCATATTTGGATATTTAGGAGTTTTATATGCCTACACATACATAGTATGGGCGCATAATGCAGTTGCCCTGTCTGTCGGTCAGTCGACACTTACACTCTAGAGGCCACAATTTTTGACAAAGGATAATGTTTCTTATGAGTAGACAATGTTTGGGATTGAATTTGAGTGCAATCGCTATCTTTGTTCCAGAGTTATGTCCCTTTAATTAGTATAATTTTGCTTGTGTGCTCCCTAGAAGCCACAATTTTTGACGAATCTTGTTCAAAATTTAGGATAATTGTTTTTATGAGTTAATGATGTTTGGGATTGAATTTGAGTGCAATCACTATTTTCGTACCAGAGATATGGCTCTTTAATTAGGGTAATTTTGCTTGTCTGCTGTCTGGAGGCCACAATTGTTGATGAATTATTCAAACCTTAGGATAATGATTCACACTGCAAGACAACAACTGGGATTGAATTTAAGAGCAACAGATTTTTTTATTCTGGATTTATTGCCCAACAATTAGCCTCATTTTGCTTGTCCGTTCTCTAGCAGCAACAATATCTAGGAATCTTATTCAAACCATAAAGAGCTTATGGCTGTATTCTTTTGGACATTAAAATAGACAAAAGGCACATATTAATCTAATATGAATGTATATAAATTGATTTATATTTAATTTTTGAAAAAAATATTGTAATTTCTAATCAATTATGTTCGGTGAATTATGTGAAAAGTCCAAATTGAAAGACAGGCGTTTACGCCTGCTTAGTCCATTCAACACATTTTATTATTGTCCCCCGCCTTTCGAAGAAAGAAGGGGACTATTAAAATGGGTTCATGTTTGTCCGTCCGTCTGTCTGTCCATCCGTCCGTCTCACTATTTGGGATACAATAACTCTCCTTCTAATTGAGCTGGAATGTTCAAACTTGGTGTAGGTGTTTATTAGGTCAATGCTTTGATGGAGTTTGAAGATGAGCATTTTCTGCTTAGGGTAAGCAGAAATAAATGTGGTCATATATTGTCATCACCCCCATCCGTTGGTCCCTCCGTCCGTCGTCCACAATTGCTTGTGGATTCTCTAGAGGCTAAAGTTATACACAGTGTTTAAGGTCATGAGACAAAGAATCCTATTGATTTTCACCGATTCCCGATAATTACTGCCAGAGTTATGGCCATTGATCACTTTGAAAAACCTTGTGGACGCTCTTGAGGTTAAAGTTAATATCTGATTGACTTTAAATTTATACATAGTGTTTAAGCCTATTGATATTCAACATTTTGTTGACGCTCAAGACGCTAAAGTTAATATCCGATTGACTTTTAATTTATACACAGTAGGGCTGCAACAATTCATTGATGAATCGATGAAGGGCGATGTTTTAAAAATTCACGATGCACGATACAATCAATGTCCGTATCACGATTTGTTATCCAAATAATAATTTCACAAAAATAGACTGATATTCTGCGTAAACAAGTCCATGAGCAAAATAACTTTTTTACTTTCAGCAAGTGTTAAGGCATTTTTGACACATGAAGTGGCTTATTATAGCTATTTAGTTAAGAATAAAATTTCAGTCTGGTTAAGCAAGTCGTGCTGGAAATTAAGTTGCGTTCAAATTACACACTTGAATAATATGCGGAAAAAAACATACAACATATTAATATACATATATACGCCAGTAATATGCGATTTGTGATAATATTACTGTATAAAAATGGAGATTTATGCACATATTTTCAATGTATATTTAATATTTGATATTATTTCCTTTGCTGTTCTGTAATCTATGACTGACCTGACAATGAGAAAGCTTTTCATTGGCTGAAATGGTTGTGGCAATCGAGCCAGCCAGCTGTTATCTGTTATCACTCGTCACTTCAGTCAGTTATATAGAGGGATGACTCGTGTTTTCCTTTGGCGTTCGTCACTTCCGATTCAGGAAACCTGTATTACTTAGCTATCGTAGCAATGATCTCTGTGTTAAAATTATATTTGGAACGTGTTTAATTAGTTCTATCGCATATGTGATAATGACTGACACCAATATTGTCCTTTAAGCATGACAGCAATGAAATCTATCAGTTCAGTTGACCGAGAAAACACCACATTTAAAGTAGCCAAATCTCTTACTCAATATCATCCAATGTCTTCGACATTGAAAACACAAATTATTTGTTAATTTAAATCAACATTGATGTTGTGATCTTACCGGGAATATATGGGCTTCTGATATCCAATATTTAAGACAAAATAAACATTTTACCATTGGTACACAAATCGTGTACCATAATGCGTTTCAGTCCCATTTGTAACAAAGGACTCGAAGAACGAGGCTAGACATATTCCACAAGTCATGTCAAACGGTGACGTCATATTCTTATATGGAGAGCATGTGCAATAAATACTATGTAGACTGGAATAACCAGATGCTCTAGATTGCCATTTGATTGGGACTTCTGGCGTATTTCGCCGAACATAACTGATTATGTTGAAAAATCTTGTGGATGCTTTATTATTATATTTATACACCGTGTTTACACCTACATATAATCTTTCCGATTGACTTTGGATTGATACACAGAGTTTAACATCTTGAAATGAACAAGTAAATTGATTTTCACTGAATTTTGATAACTTGAACAGCTAAATCCATGATATTAAATGTTTTGTATACTAAACATTAGCATGGTCCAAACAAATTCTAACGATTTTCTGATAATTACTTAATGAGTTGTTACTCTAAAATCAGATTTTAGTGTATTATAAATGTTTCATTACCGACAAAAGTAAAAATATGCGACAACTCTTGTTGACTGCCTTGACAATTTAGCTGATGTGGGTGTATGTTTCGTTGCCTGGCAACCTATCTTTGTGTTGTGTGTCTGTGTTGCCAACAGGCCACAATTTTTAATGGATCATCTTGGAACTTGATAGAAGTATTCCTTATAGCCTAAGAACAGCAGCTATTGATTTAGGTACATGTCTCAACTCCTAGGGGCAGAGACTCGCCCAATTTTTGTGTTTATCGCATAGTGGCCGCAATTGTGAATGGATCATCTTCAAACTTGGCTTATGTATTCCCTATAGTCTAAGGGTGGCAACTATTGATTTTGGTGCATGTCCCGACCCCAGGGGCAGAGCTGTGCCCATTTTTTTTTTTTAAATTGGCATGTATCAGATCAGACCATAACTTATTATGACCCCCTGATTGTACAAAAAAATTTGTTTTTAGCTTGTGGATCCTATAGAGGTCATAATTTTTATCCGATTTAAAAAACAATATTAGTATATCACTGTTACACCCTAAGGATGGTTGAGTTCGAATTTCGTAAAAATCGGCCCAAAACTGACAGACAAAATGTCCGCCCCTTGTTCTCAAATAGCGTAAAAATATGGTATATCAAGATTGTTGACCCTCTAGAGGTCACAATTTTTTTCTGATTTTGATGAAACTTGAAATGTAAGTTTAAAACCCAAAAGTCTTGGTTCCTCTCGATATTCACCCATATGAGATAGTAACTTCCTGAATTATGGCCTCTGATTGTAGGAAAATCGTGTTTTTAGCTTGTGGACCCTATAGCGGTCATAAATTTTATCCGATTTAAAAAACCTAAGGATGGTTGAGCTTGAATTTCATGAAAATGTGACCAAAATTGCCAGACAAAATGGCCGACCCTCATACAAAGTGTAAACAACTAGTATATCAAAGTTGTGGACCCTCTAGAGATAACAATTTTGATCTGATTTTGATGAAAATTGAAATGCATGTTTATAACCCAAAGATCGTGGTTTCTTTCGATATTCACGCATATCAGATTGTAACTTCCTGAATTATGGTCATTGATTGTACGAAAAATCGCTTGTGGCCCCTATAGATGTTACAATTTTTATCCAATTTAAAAAAAAAGCTTGTAAATATATCACAGTTATACACTAATGATGGTTGAGTTTGAATTTCGTGAAAATCAGACAAAAACTGATGGATATAATGGCCGTCCCTTGTACGCAAATAGTGTAGAAATAAGGGAGATCAAGGTTGTGGACCTTCTGGAGGCCACAGTTTTTTATGCGATTTGGATCAAACTTTAAATATATGTTTTTATCATAAAGATCTTGGTTCCTTTTGATTTTGATTCTCTGGAGGTCACAATTCCGATTTTAAAAAAGGTTTAGAAATATCATTTCAGGAAAATGGCTGCTCTTTGTACGCATATTGTGTATGTAATACAAAGGTTATGGACCCTCTAGATGTCACAATTTTTATCCGATTTTGATGAAACTTTAAGATACATTCCCGGTACAAACTGGGTGATTTAATGGTATATATGGACTAAAAACATATTCAAACTAATTAATTTGTCATAAATTTGCTTCAAATCCTTCTCAAACATTGTAATTGTGAAGGAATGCCCTGCTATAAAAATTCGATCAAACCAAATCATGTTTACGTCCACGTGACTTACGTCTCTTGGAAGTAAGAGGAGAATTCATTGTATACGTAAGACGATGTTGTCTTTAATCGCTTACTATTTATTACAAATATCGAATCCTAATTAAATTCTCGGATTATTCACTACCCGCGTCTTTTTCCATCATTTTTATCTCAGAAAGTTTTGTACGTCTAACTCTTCATAAAGTTTATCAACTTGTACATCGAGTGCTCAATGTTCGCGTGTAACCTTTGACATCACGCGCACAGAAATTCCTAATCGTCAGGCTGTCGATGCCTTGATGGAGTTCGAAGATGAGCATTTTCCGCTTAGGGTAAGCAGAGATAAGCAATTTGATTGGTTGATGCTTTGGGACACGATAACTCTCTTCCTAATTGGGCTAGAATGTTCAAACTTGGTGTATGTGTTGATTAGGTCAATGCCTTGATGGAGTTCGAAGATGAGCATTTTCCGCTTAGGGTAAGCAGAGATAAGCAATTTGATTGGTTGATGCTTTGGGACACGATAACTTTTAATTGAGCTAGAATGTTCAAACTTGGTGTATGTGTTTATTAGGTCAATGCCTTGATGGAGTTCGAAGATGAGCATTTTCCGCTTAGGGTAAGCAGAGATAAGCAATTTGATTGGTTGATACTTTGGGGCACGATAACTCTCTTCCTAATTGAGCTAGAATGTTCAAACTTGGTGTATGTGTTGATTCGGTCAATGCCTTGATGGAGTTCGAAGATGAGCATTTTCTGCTTAGGGTAAGCAGAGATAAGCAATTTGATTGGTTGATGCTTTGGGACACGATAACTTTAGTTCTAATTAAGTGAGATTGATGAAACTTGGTGTATAGATTTATTATATGAATACCTTAACTAAGTTCGATAATGAACATTTTTTGCTGAGGGTAAGCAGAGTGATAAGCAATTTGATTGGTAGAAACTTTGGAACACAATAACTCTCCTTCTAATTGAGGTAGAATGTTCAAACTTGGCATAGGTGTCTATTAGGTGAATGTTTAAACTTGATGTATATGTAGATGTTCATTAGGTGAATGTCTTGACTGAGTTCAATAATTAACATTTCGAGCTGAAGCTAAGCAGAGCTAATCGATTTCATTTGTCGATGGTTTGGGACAAGATAATCTTGATTCTATCTGATAGAGAGTGATGAAACTTAGTGAAAAAAATAAATGTGCGATTAATTAATATGTGTCATCTATTTATTTTGCAATTTCGGCGGGGGACATCAGCCTCACTGTTGGCTTGTTCTAGTAAGATTGGATGTCTCTACTTTCCATATATACCAAAATTGCCATACTTTTATTGGAAATAACCACCTGATAAACACTTTTCTGGGAACCCATCTTTAAAACATATCTTTATATTCCAAAAATCTCAGTCTCTTTTGATATTTGCGCATTTCAGACCATAACTTTCTGGATTATGGCCCTGATTGAAACAAAAATCGTTTTTGTTTTTATTATATTCTCTATCCATCTCTTGCAAAATGTGGGCATATCCTTCCTGGCAGCCGCTGGTTTGTCTTCAGGCTGGAATTTTGAATCTGAATGGATCATCTTGGAACTTGGCATATTTATTCCATATACAGTAAGAATAGCAACTATCTATTTTGGTGCATGTCCCGACCCCCAGGGACAATGTCACACCCACTTTATTTTTAAAAGTACCATATGAATCAAAGCAGGGATGTGGACATATATTGCAGCGATAGTGATGCTCTCGTTCATTTCGGAATTACGTTCCCTTAATTAGCGTGATTTTGAAGAATCTTTTTCAAACTTTAGGATAATGATTCTTATGAGTAGATGACAATTGGGATTGAATTTGACCGCAATCATCTTAGCGTAATTTTGCTTGTCCGCTTTCTAGAGGCCACAATTTTTAATGAATCTCTTTCAAACCTTGGGATAATGACTCTTATGTTCGAATTTGAGCCATTCTCTTTTTATTCCAGAGTTATGGAACATTAATTAGCTAAATTTTGCTTGTCCCCACTATAGAGGCTACAATTTTTCATTTCAGATAAGCTTGATTGCTGTCTATGTCTATCTTTTTTTCTAGACAAACCTGCTGTATGGGCGTATTTCCATGCTGTGTGGCTATCTTTAAAATACATGACCTTTAAGAGAACCATTAAAAATTTATTATCATTGGACAAGGCTAGAGGGTAAATAGGGGTACCCAAGTTGACATGTCCCAAGAGCATACTTTGACAAATTATTACTGCAAAAGTTGTTCTCAGGTGGCCATAAAAAAATATTCTATTTTATCCAACCCTTGAGTTTAGAAAAGTTATCAGTGTTTACAATGCGTGAATTCATCATGTAACTTTGCATTGAAAATGTGACCTCTTTCAACTATGATATAGTGGTGTTTCCTATTGATTATCTTAATTAATGCTTTTCTATGGTTAATGAGCTACTGTATTCATGCTGGTTACAATTGCTTAAGGAATATGCTTGTCTTACTGCAGAACCAGAATCCAACATCAACTAGTTTTCATATAAAGTACATTAATAATCTGATATTCTGCTATGTGTAATTTACAATGAAATATTTTACGAATATTTTTTACAGAATTCGCACTTATGAAGAATCTACAATGCCTGTTATAAAACACTATAGATCTTTAGATTTAGTAGCAGAGGTCAGTGCTGATCAAAAAGAAGATGAAGTAAGTGTATTATTACCATAAACCACTGTGTGTGTGGACAGAATTTTTGTGTAAAGGTTAAAGTGTTTTGGTGTTCACTATATCTACATACAATGTGGAATAAACTACTTTAAATTCCCATAGAAGTCGAACACTCAATCAATTTAAATCTGATCTAAAAACTTATCTGTTTCAATATGCACCTATGGTATGTTCTATGGATTTAGTGCTTTATAAATGCATTCGGAGCAGAACAGTAGGACGTTAAACCCCATTTCGCTTGATAAATGTACATATTATTATTCTGTTATGTTCTATCTAAAACAGAGTGATAATATTGCATTATTATGGCACCAAGATTAAAATAAATCTGTCTTTGTGATTTATAGGTTCAAACAGTTTTTGTAAATTTGTCCTGAAAAAATGCATATTTCTTACACCTATTGGATTACTGTCACAGTATCTCTTTAAAATTAACCATTTATAAATGTCCTAAATTTTGTTTTCTATTTAAACAGGTATTTAATGATGTAAAGAAAATATTCTCTAGTTGATATGGCTGCTACACAACTACATGTACTCCACCTTACCAGTTATTCGTAGATTTTATTTAGTTTTTATACGCCCACATTGGAAATGTGGTCGTATATTGCCGTTGCCCCCATCCGTCCGTCGTCCACAATTTCTTGTGAACACTCTACAGACTAAAGTTAATATCCGATTGACTTTAGATTTATACACAGTGTTCAAGATCATTAGACGAAGAATCCCTTTGATTTTCAACGATATCCGATAATTACTTCCAGAGTTATGGCCCTTGATCACTTCAAAATATCTTGTGGATGCTCTAGAGGCTAAAGTTAATATCGATTGACTTCAGATTTATACACCAGGTTTAAGGTCGTGAGACGCAGAAGCCCAGTGATTGTCAGTGATTTCAGATAATTACTTCCAGAGTTATGGACCTTGATCACTTTGAAAAATCTTGTGGATGCTCTAGAGACCAAAGTTACCATCCAATTAACTTTAGATTGATAAACAAGAGTTTAAGGGTCTTGAGACGAAGAAGTATATTGATTTTCAATGAATTTTGATATCTTGAACAGCTAAATCCATGATATTAAATGTTTCGTATATTAAACGTTAGCATGGGGCAGAACTAAAAGCCAAACAAATTCTAATGATTTTCTGATAATTACTTAATGAGATGTTACTCTTAATCAGATTTTAGTGTATTATAAATGTTTCATTACCGACAATAGAAAAAATATGCGACAACTCTTGTTGACTGCTAGGACGACATAGCTTCTGTGGGCGTATGTTTTGTTGCCTGACAACCTATCTTCTTTTTTTTTTTTTAGATTTTTCAAACATGAGAAACATGATCATGACAGATTTTATTCATGCCTAAAGTAGCTTCATAAGATGAAATCTTCAATGTCATGTTTATAGGGTATTATAGATGGTATATAAATGGTATTGCTTGATTCTGCAACTTTAGTTGGTCCAATAGTAGCATATCTTGCTTTTTAACACAAATTTTTTCCAGGCCTGTAAATCATTAATGTACAACAATAAGAGGGTTCTAATTTTGTGTTTACTGAGGAGCTATTATAGGTTTTTAGTATTTATGATTTAGAACTGCTGTAGGTACAGTGACTTCACATTAAAGATGTATTATGTAAGATTTGGTTCAAAAATAGATAATGAAAAATGAATATATTGAAACTTTTAGTCAAATTACTCATTTCTGAGGGGGAGCCACAGTGGCTGGAGGTCGCGGATTTGATCCCGGTGTTGGCCAAGAAAGTTCATCAGAATTTTCCGTTGTGGTTTACCTTGTCATTGGTGCAGGATAGAGGGCCTAGCAAGGACAGCTGTCTAGTTGTTCGGATGGGACAAAAAAACGAGGTCCCGTGTACACATTGGCATTCACATAAAAGATCCCTTGGCAGTCGTAATTCGATGTAAGAGTAGACCATAGTGCTGTCGAGGCAAAATTCTTCTCATAGCACGCTATGGCATATGCCCGTGTTAATTAGGCCAGTTGGAGCAGAACTGTAGGACGTTAAACTCCATTTCATTTCTCATTTCAGAGCGAACTCTTCACAATTTAGTTTCAATTTTCAAGTACCTTCGTTTCGATAATAAACAAAGTCTTGATATCCATTTTTATACACCCACATTTTCATCTGAACGTATATTATCGTCGCTCCTGTCCATCCGGACATCCACAAAATTTGTTTGTGGACACTAAACAGGTCACAATTTTTATCCGATTTTGACGAAACTTGAAATATAGGTTTATATCCCAAAGATCTTGATTGGTATGTATCGGACCGTAACTTCATCGATTGTTCGAAAAATCACGGGTTTTTTTAGCTTGTGGACACCCTAGAGGTCATAATTTTGATCCGATTTTGATAAAACTAGAAATACATGTTTATAACCTACAGATCTTGGTTTTTTCAATATTCGCGCATATCGGATTGTAACTTCCTGAATTTTGGTCCTTGATTGTATGAAAAATCATGTTTTTAGTGTGTGGTCTCCCTAGAGGTCACAATTTTCATCCGATTTTAAAAAATGTTTTAATATATTACCATTACACCGTAATGACGGTTCAGTTGGAATTTCGTGAAACTCGGACCGAAACTGCCTGACAAAATGGCCACTCCTTGTACACAAATAGTGTGAAAGTATGTAATACAAGGTTGTGGACCCTTTAGAGGTCATAATGATGATTCGATATTGATTTATGTTTATATCACAAAGATCTTGGTTCCTTTTTATAATCACGCATATTGGAACTTAACTTCTTTGGATGATGGCCGCTGATTGTTAAAAAAAAAAAATCACGTATTGAGCATGTAGACCCTCTAGAAGTCAAAATTTGGATTCAATTTTATAAACCTTTTAAATATATCACCGTTAAACCTCAGTGAAGGTTGAGTTCAAAATGACCGCTCTTTGAACGCAAATAGTCTAAAAGTATGTAATACTAAGGTTGTGGACCCTCTAGAAATCACAATTTTTATTTGATTTTGATGAAACTTGTAATGTGTGTTTATAATATATGTTTATATACCAAAGATCTTGGTTCTTTGCAATATTTGCACATATCTAAATTGTACGAAAAATCACGTTTTTTTAGCTTGTGGAACCACTAGAGGTCACAATTTTTATCTGATTAAAAAAAAAGAACTGTTTAAATATATAATCGTTACACAAAAGTGATGGTCGATTTCAAATCTTGTGAAAATTGAACCGAAACTGCTTGACAAAATGGCTGCTACTTGTATGCTAATAGTGTAAAAGTATGTAATACCAAGGTTGTGGACCATCTAGAAGCCACAGTTTTTACCTGATCTTGATGAAACTTAAAATATATTTTTATATCCGAAAGATCTTGGTTCCTTTCAATATTCGTGCATATCGGACCGTAACTTGATTATGGCCCCTGATTGTACAAAAAATCGCATTTTTGTTTACCTTGTTCTCTGTCCATCTCTTGCAAAATCTGGGTGAGCTTGCCTGGCAACCGCTGGTTAAATTAAATTATTAAATGGCAATTGTGTTTCAATCCATTGAAAATCACAACCATCTGATGCCAGTGATGATCTAGTGAGTGGATTATGGGCTTGTCATGTGAATAAATGCCTAATTGAAATAAATGTCTTATTAATTTATTTTATATTAGATTTGAGACCAAAAGAAAGACCTGCAATAGGCAGATTTAGCTCTTACATAATGCATCTTTAAGATAGTTCCATAATAGTCCTCTGTTATGTGTTATTTATTATGAAAAGTTGACCAAGACTAGAATATTTTCATCTTGTCTTTCTTAATGTCTACACAATCGTTTTTCTGTCCACAATTACAAGTCATAAATAATATAGTGGGCTTATTTAGCTACAAGTAGTTGTAGATGTTTTTGGAGAAACCATATCAAAATTCTAAGTTACTACGTACTTATAATTTCAGAAATTGGTCATAACTGGTCATTTACTATTCAGGAAAACGCTATGAAGATGTCGTTGCCTTGACTTTGTAAATAATCTATGATCAAAACTTTTGAGTTTGACTCACAGCAGACTGTGAAACTCAGGTCTTCTTTCTTTTTACCGATATCATGGATAACATGCATGACAAAGCTACTGGTAGACATATTTTTTTGTTACCTGGCACTGATATGTTCATTTTTAATTTGGTGTTTGCATAATGCACACATCACAATTCCATGTGTGCCTTTTATATTCATGTATTATTATTGATTTTTCTGATATCTGTACAATGCTAAATATTTCCATGATATGGAATTGACTGATTTAGTCTCGAGCACTCCAACCTAAATTGACTGTGCTTGGACAAAATAGCAGCAGTTGTGTGTAAGGTAACTAGCTGTTCACATACAGTTCATCAGTTGATTTATGACAGGCAGTGGCTCAGTGAGAAAGACGTTGGCTAGCTAACCTGGAGGTCCTGTGATCAATCCCTATGTTGGCAGAGAAGGTACATCTGGATTTTTTGGCGTGGTTCCCCCTTGTCAGTGGTGCAGGACAGAGGGCCTGGCAAGGGACAACATATAGTTGTACGGGTGTCACAAAAAACAAGGTCCATGTGTGCATATTGGTGTGCACGTAAAAGATCCCTTATCAGTTGAAAATTGATATAAGAGTAGGCCATAGCGCCGCTTTCTGAGCAAAATTTCCCTCATACTGTGGTCTCTGTCAAATCCGACATCGTACGGGAATGTTACAATATGCCGGATTATGCAGAGTGTCAGAATACTCAGTTTTCACAAATCCGGAAGTATTATTGTAACTTCGAAAACCGGCATTTTGAATAGGTCAAGTCTGTCGTTAATTTAACTTCTTCATCGTCTTCAGTTGATCGCACACTTGTCTTTGGTGTCACATTTTCATTGATAATCTGTTGTTCTTTGTCCAGGTCGTCATCACACAGTTCTGATAGATCCGTAGGGTGAACAACCTTAGGTATTCAGATTCAATCGGCATGCACAACAAATGTTTCCAACAGGTGCTAGGAATATTTTTACGACTGAATAATTCGGGGGAAAATTCGTAGTTATTCTTGAGTATTTGTCACAACTGTCTTACAAGAGATTATAAAATTATCAAAGTAATCAACAAAGACCTACGCGAGCGAGTTTTAATCTCACCGATACTTGATTGGTGATTGTTTGTTAATCTTTTGTGGCTTCACACCCACCGATTGAAGACCGGATTATACAGTGTTGATTCAATGGAAATCATGTGACGGGACGACTGATTGATGTCGTAATTCGGAATATTCAGATTTTTGGGCTGAAATAATAAGGAAGTAAATCGGGACATGAAAACGATGTTGGATTTCACAGAGTGCCGGATTACTGAGAGGTCGGATGTGACAGAGTCCACTGTAGTACATTGTATGGCATATGCCTGTCTTCATTAGCCCAGTCGTAGCAAAACAGTAAGACGTTTAACCCCATTTCATTTATGAATTGCATGATGTTTGGTTATAGATTTTAAGATACCTTCCCGTGTACAAACTGTGTGATTTGATGATATATTTGGGCTGAAAACATATTCAAACTAATTAATCTATCAAAACTTTGCTTCAAATTCCTCTCAAAACTTTGTATACTCGAGGAGATACCCCAAGGTATAAAAAATCTATTTTTAGAAGCCATGTTTGTCACCTAACTAGATTGAGGGAGGGCCCATTTTTTCAGAATATATTTGTCATTCTTACTGTCCATTTACTATACATATTGAGACCTAAGTAAATTCTTGAATTATTTTCTGCCAACTTCTTTTTCCGCCATTTAATTGCAGAGTCTGTTATACATTTACACCCCTCAATGTTCTCAAAACAGCCTAACCATTCCATCAAGAAATAAGAACTGCTCCCTAAGTCAAGCTGGCAGAGAATAGGCTGCCGGGTTGCCAATTAGTGATACCCTGACATTTTTATCCCGTGCTTGTTCCATGGGTCTTTTTCAGGTAATCCAGTATTTTTCTAGTGACATTGAGCGTCTATACTTTCCATATATACCAAATTTGCCATAATTTTATTGGAAATAACCACCCGATAAATACTTTTGTGAGAATGTATCTTTAAATATGCCAGAATTAACCTTTAAAACTATATTCAAATATGGCACTATTTTTTTCCAGACTAATATTTGTTATAGTTGATGTGGAGGCAGTCTGTTACTTAGGCTAATGATTTGGGAATTATATAATTGCAATAAATATTTTATATTTAACCATACTGATTGTATATATTCAAGTAACTGTATCATTGCACAAAATTATAGCTTAGGTGTTTCTCTATTGAGTTAGTTAATATAATGTAAGACAGATATTGACAGTAATTTTAAGTTTAATTTTAAGTGTACTATTATTTGTGTACCAACATCTGTACAATGTCAAGGTATTACAATGTATGTCCTGTACCTTGACTGCATTGGCTGATAATTGTGTCGGGCATATGTTAAATATGTTGACATTGTGAAAATGCTGTGCCAATTGTGTTACTGTCTGAGCATCATATTTGATAGTTTGTATATTATTTTTAATTTTGGGGTTCCCCATTGTTAGAGTTTTTGTTTAAATTTTTCTCTATCCTTATTGGATCATATGGTATACCTACATTTTCAAAGGTGAATTTTTTCTAAATTTACAAGGAATATATTAAATGAAATTGATATTTTTTAAAAAGTGATTTGGTCTGATGTCTAAATGTCTGAATAAAACAACAAAAACCATGAACATTAAAGTAATATGTAAAAATAATTATTGGTTCCTTGAGAATGAGATTCCCCATAATGTATACTTTAAAATGTAAATAGTATATAGGGCTAGTCAGTTGGGTATGTTTGTTTTTATACGCCCACAAGGTTATCTCCAAAAGATATTGCTGGAATATGGCCCCTGATTGTATGAAAATCACATTTTTAGCTTGTCGACACTCTAGAGGTCACAACTTTGATGAAATTTGAAATGTATGTTCACAAGTCAAAGATCTTGGACAGTCAGTTCCTTAAGAATGAGATTCCCCATAATGAATACTTTAAAATGTAAATATTATATAGGGCTAATCAGTTGGGTATTTTTGTTTTTATACGCCCACAAAAGATGTTGCTTCCTTTCAATATTCGCTCTTATCGGTCCATAACTTCCTGGATTATGGCCCCTGATTGTAGGAAAAATCATGTTTTTAGCTAGTGGTCCCTCTAGAGGTCACAATTTTTATACGGCCACATTTAAATATGGTAGTATATTGTCGTCTCCCCCGTCCATCTGGAGTTCACAATTAATTGTGGATGCTCTAGAGGCTAAAGTTAAATTTATACACAGTATTTAAGGTCATGAGACGGATAAGCCTATGGATTTTCACCGATTTCTGATAATTACTGCCAGAGTTATGACCCTTGATCACTTTGAAAAATCTTGTGGACGCTCTAGAGGCTAAAGTCAATATCTGATTGACTGCCCGGACGATTTAGCTGCTGTGGGCGTATGTTTCGTTGCCTGGCAACCTATCTTTATTCTAAACATAAACATAATATAGCAATATGGCCTACAGTGTTTTATTCTTCAAAAAAAAAACCATTGCATATGATTACACGTGTAATCTCCTGTCCTTATCTGATTTTTAAAAAAAATGTTTGAATATATCACCGTTACACCATAGTTTTGGCTGAGTTCGAATTTTGTGAAATTCGGACGAAAAGTGCCAACAAAATGGCAGCTCCTAGTACGCAAATAGTGTAAAATATGGTATATCAAGGTTGTGGACTTTCTAGAAGTCACTATCTGATGATCGTGCATGTTGACACGTAACTTCCTGGATTATAGCCCCGGATAGTTCAAAAATTCGCGTTTTTAGCTTGTGGGCCCCTGTAGAAGTCACTTATTTTATAATCGTGCATATTGGAACGTAACTTCCTGGATTGTGGCCCCTGATTGTTCGAAAATTCTTGTTTTGAGCTTGTGGACCCTCTAGAGGGTGGGTCGATTTACCCAATACTACCCAATTCCACCTCAATATCACCACATACTACCCAATACTACAACATAATGATGCAAAATAGAGATATCAATATGATTTTCAAAAATAGAGAGTTATATCTCGGGAAATGTGCTTCAAATGCAATACCGATGTCTGGCTGTTCCATTTGCCTCCCTATACTGCCCAAAACAAGCCAATAATAACCCCAATACCCAATGTTATATATTGATAAGCTTTTAACGTGTAATATTGGATGAATAAACTATAGCGGCGGCATCTATAACAACTTGTTTTCCTTATTTTCACCTCGTCTTGGAAACAAAGCCCAACAAGATTAATCTATTTATAGCTTGATAACTGCGTAAATATTTCAATTTTCTGCAAATTATCGAATATTCGTTGCAATTATTACACTGATGTGCTGCTAATTCTTGATATTAGGTTTGTGTTTTATAATATTGGGTTATTATTTGCTTGATTTGAGGGGGGGGAGGTGGATGGCCGAATGGTTAGCATCACTATTGTATCACAAGGTCTGTCATTGAGTCATCTGGCGTGGCTTCGTATCCCCGGTTGTACGTGACAAGGAGTAGGGTCGCCTGTCCAGCCTCGTGGGTTTTCTCCGGGTCCTCCGGTTTCCTCCCACAGCTAAAGACCCCTACAAGCAAGCGAATTATTGAAATAAAATTAAACCATGTGTTAGTTCCGAAATGACCTAGTTTGTGTCGAGTGGACGTTAAACCCCATTTCTCTCTCTCTCTCTCTCGCTTGATTTGGGTGATATAGGGAGGCAAATGAAACAGCCAGACATCGGTAATCACATTTGAAGTCCGAAATGAAATGAAATGGGGTTTAACATCCTACTGTTCTGCTCCGAACTGGCCTAATGAAGACGGGCATACGCCATAAAGTGTGTTATGAGGGAAATTTTGCCTGGACAGCAGCACTACGGCCTACTCTTATATCGAATTCCTTAACTGTCAAGGGATCTTTTACGTGCATGCCAATGTGTATACGGGACCTTGGTTTTCCGTACCATCCAAACGACTAGACAGCTGTCCTTGTCAGGTCCTCCGTTCTGCATCAGTGATAAGGGAGAACCACGCCGGTAAATCTGGATGGACTTTCTCGGCCAATGCAGGGATCAAACACCCGACCTCCAGGCTAGCGAGCCAGCATCTTACCCACTTAGCCACAGTCCAACAGAAACGGACGGACAAAATGGCAGCTCACTTGTAATACTCGGTACCAAGGTCACAATTTTTATCTAATTTTTATGAAACTTGAAAGGTATGTTTATAACGCAAAGATCTCAGATGCTTTTGATATTCAAACATATGAAACCTTCAATACCCGGATTATGGCCCCTGATCACGTTTTATACGCCCACATTTTTATGTGGACATAAATTGTCGTCGCACCTGTCCGCCCATCCGTCCACAATTTGTTTGTGGACACTCTACAGGTCACAATTTTTATCTGATTTTGACGAAACTTGAAATATAGGTTTATCTCCCAAAGATCTTGGTTCCTTTCGATATTGGCACGTATCGAATCATAACTTTAT